ACAACGCGATGCTTTGACGTTGCTTCTCTTGTTGCATGTGCAGCACCGTAAACACTTCCACATTGCGTGTGCACTTCACATGTGGTCCGTTGCATTTAAAATGTAGTGTTATTTAAAATGCAGTGTTATTGAAAGCTCGCTGCAATGCGTGTCCCCCCCCCCCCCCCCCCCCCCCCCCCCCCCCCCCTCAATAAAACATTGGCAACCTCTCAACAAGACGATAACTATTGCACTTCAATATTCAGAAATGTGGAATGCGGTCTGGTAAAGATATTGGCTCTTGTCATATCTGCACTCACTCTTGGAAGACAAATCCAAGAGCTTAAAATGCATTTATGTGGAAAGTTGAACAAATCTCTGTTAAATATGTCTAAATGGTATTTTTCCATTTGTGCTCAACTTGACCAAAAGCAATAATATAATTCAAGTGCACATATTTTCTAAAAATGGTATTCATACTGCATCAATCAAATAAATGAAAAAGCATGTATGTTAATGAACCACGGTCCATGTGTACTCGCAATTTTAATGCAAAACTACTCCACATGAAGCCCTTTGTCTATCCTCTACTGCTAGATGAGATCCTTCACACGCACACTTTGTCAGTCATGGGCGTTGTTTGACCATACTTCACTAAACTGGAATCGTGCGGGTTGGTGAAGTGGGCTGGGGCAGTGGGGGTGTGTTTGCCCAGAACTGGTCCAGATATTACTTGAGAACGTCATAAGCTGTGGCTGACAATCGAAGTCAGGTTGCAAGGTTCGCTGTGATGTGTGCACAAGACACTGCATTATTTCTAACCCACGAAAAGGAGCATTGTACTGGAATATAATAATTGCAGCTGAATAAAGATTGGGGGAGGTGGTGGTGGTGGGGCGGGGGTACTCCTTACATATGATATATTATTGGAATTATGCATAGCATCAACCTCTGAATGGTTATTGTATTTCAATGCAAAAGTGATTTAAGTTAATGAATTAATTTGGTCATTAATTCCTACTCTCAAATTTCAGAGAAATTCCAGTGAATATGGAAACAGGGTGAAACGTTACAGCTGTGGAACTGTGTGGTGTGCATTTGCAACCTATTACATTCAAACTATTTAATGTAATGTATGAAAATAAACATAACATTGCATGAAGTTACACGAATGCCAGATTTGATTCCGTAAAGAAATGCAAATTAATCTGTGCTCTTAACGTTTTTAAATGTGGTTACCTATACAAGTCTTAATGTATTTTATCCTAAAGCATTGTGAAACATTTCCCTTGCATATTATGACTAACATTATACTTTTGTAGAAATAGACAACATTTATATTTGAAAGGTCAAATGTTTCTATGGAATTAAATATTCAGAGCTAATTGTTTTTTTGTAACGCCCAACGTGTTATTGAAAAGTCGTCTCGCCAGTGTGGAAGAGTAGGCCAAATGTTGTATAGCGGGGTGCTCCAGGACTCCGTCTCGTGGAGGCCCTTCCACCAGCAGTGTCATGAGCAAGACATTGCAGGGTAGCACCTTTACACTATGTATATACAATATATATATTTCAGAAAGTTTTAAATGACGTTTTTTTTTTAGATAATAACTTTTGACACGAATATTTCGCATTAAAATGTTCCATAACATCGCCGCGTTGGCAAAGGAAGACCTATTCAATGCCATGGTTGTGTCTCTTCTTGCTTGGTCACAGGACCAGGGGGTTGGGGTAGGGGAAAGTTCACATTTTTCAACGGCCCAAGAAAACACGGCACACCCCACATGGCTTACTTTGCCAATAGCACCTTCGCAGTAATTCATGCCATCCGTCCGGCTCTTGAGAGCCCTGTGCGACAGAGTGAAAAATTGCACGACTATTAGCCTGCCCATCTTTTTAGAACCCTACTTTGCGGGTTTTTAAAAAATAAATTTGAAGGTTTGACCCCCAAACAAACCAAAAAGATTCCATCAAGGCTCAGTCATGCGGGCCAGCTGCTTGGTCGTATAGATTACGTAGTGGCAAGGCCCTTCGAAAGTCATGGCCATGTCAGGAAGGAGAATAAAAAAAAAACGTATGAGCTCATTCCTATCTCCGCAAAAATAAATTATCAAGGAGTAGTAGCCAGCCGTGGCATTGTGTACGATGACTTGTACTGAGATGAGTCGAAAAACAATCTTTCCCGAGCTGACACATACGCTGCAGGGGAAGGATTAATGAACGTGGATTTATGTTTGTGCATTATTTTCGATGTTTTTCATGGACAGTTTAATTCTTGCTCCGATTTCGATGTGCTTTATTGTTCTGCGTTATGTTGCTATTTCCCCCCCCCCCCCCCGCTATTGTCACGTTGGTGACCCGGGCCACCCTTTGCTTATCCTGGGGCTGTCGAATTCTTCCGTGGTGAAAGCAAAACAATTAACTTGAATTTGATCTTACCCACCGGTGGTGACCTGTTTGTGCCTTTGGAAAGGACGCTTGTAAACACACAGGGCATTATCCTGGGGTGAGCCTTGTAGCGCGAGGTAGATTAGTTATTTGTGTGTATATATATACTTGAAAAGTGGATGTCACATTTACAAAGGCATACAAAGAGAATGGCACATTTTACGAGAAAAGACAAGGTGTTTTTTTTTTCTCTCCAAGTTGTAACTGTTTAGTTAATACATGGCAGAAGTTTTGGGCATGGCACTATGCACATTCATCGATTAATATGGATTCTTAAGCTCACAATATACATGCTTCAAATCGCGTGTGTAACAATCAGCGTTTTTCAATGTTTTTTTTACGTTCACCCCTACAGGCACTATAAATGCTACCGTTCACCATAATGTAAAGAAAGCAACGTGCCATGAAGAACGGGCCATTGCCCGAATCGTCGCCGATTAGAAACGGCGTTATTTTAAGGCCACAGTGTTATCGACGAGTGTGTCAAGTTTCCTTGTTAATTGTGCCTGTGCACCACTGCCAACACAGCACCAGAAAATCATTTTGTTTCACGTGAACAACGATTACTTGAAATGATTAGCCGGTATTGAATTGTTACAATTAATCGAATTGTTTTGGGGTGGGGGTGGGTGAATATTTCCACCTCTATCTCTATGTCGTGAGAATTTTATTGTGTTATTTTATTTTATTAATTTATTATTTTATTCTCATTCTACGTGACTTTACCGAAAGAACCAAAGAAGACAATTAGGCTTACTTTGAGGTGAATTATGCATGTATTACATGTCAAGGAGGAGTGGTGGTGCATTGGTTAGCCCGCTGCACCATTACACCTTGTGATCTGAATTAGATTTTTAGCCGTGTGTAATATCATTGGCAAGTAATATTAAAACCGGTTCCGAGCTTCACAAACCTACAATGATCAGCGTGGTGAAGTATGGTCAAACAACCCCCATATGACCAACATGGCGCGTGGAGGCATTCATTTAGCAGAAGGTTGACAAAAGCAATTTTTCCCTTAAACATATTAAGAGTGAGCTGATGTCAGGGATTTCCAGGCAGTATTTTAAAAAAATCACTCTAAGGCACGTGGCTCTCTGTATAATTCAATCTCTTCATCAAAACTTTGAGACTTTTAGACTATCCCACGCTGCTTTGGCAAATCTCAGACATTAAACTTGGATAAGTTAATTTCCTGTGTGCCTACCCATTCTTCCACATCAGAAGCTCCCTTGACCATGAGGTTCCCTGTGTCTCTTCGATTGGTAATAATGGAGAAAAATAATTGGCGACCCCATGGCTTTCTATTTCAACGCAGAGGGTGTTTATGGAAAGTAGGCCACATACAGTGTCGACTCTTTTTTTGTACTAATTTGAAATATTCCAACGGACAGTCATTTGTAAATCCACTGCTGGATGAAGGCCTCCACGTGGCGTGTCGGTCACCGGGGTCACTTGGCCGTTTGTGATCACCCTCGTCGGCGAAAGCGGTGGGCCGAGGAGTGGTTTGGATATCGCTCTCACCACTGACGTTGGCCGTTGCCGGGAATCAATCTCAGGTCGCCACTGCTCTATTTGTACTCACGATATCTGTGGACAGTATCTGAATTCAGCTTGTAATCCTCGATATAAGCATGCACAGTGGGCCTCTTGTCAGCGGGTGGTTTAAATTATGAGTCATTCCTTCATGTTTTCCAGCTTAAGGTTGAAAGCGTGAATGTATGACCTCTGTCCGTCTGTCCTTCCCTCTGCCTGCCTGTAATAAGGGGCCACGATAATACTCGTAAACATGGTCCAAAATTAACAAGACTTGATTTAAAAGTTGTGTTACCGGAAAGAATATACCGTATTAACAAAAAACTGGCCAAATTGATCAAAGGCTTGCCCAAAACTAGTAAACAAAAACCAGTGCTAAAAGAAATTCCCAAAGGCAGCGCCAAAAGAAGGCATGCATCTACGACTCCAGTAGACGTCATTAGACGTGAAATCATCTCTCGACCTCGCACGTCGTGCTCCAGGTGACACTATCCCGCTGTGCGACTTGCAACGTAACATTACCACCCGTTAAACACTTCTCACGCACGTTGACAAGCATCAGATAATGCATGCGTGTGCATGTTTTTTCTTCTTCTTTTGTCATTTTTTTTCACATTCACACGCTTGTGGTGGTTTTTCCGTGAATGGCTTCAACGCTATAAGAATAGGGGTTTTCCCCCTTTTTTCTGGCAACAAAACTGAAACCTTTTTACAAGGATTCATGTCTGCATTAACCACAATACTTGCAGTCAAAATAAAAAAAAACATACTATGATAATATATGCATTGTCCTTGAAACTGATTGGTCCACACCAAGGGACGGCTTTCTTTAAGGACAATGCATATATTATCATAGTATGTTTTTTTGTTTGCATTTTGACTGCAAGTATTGTGGTTAATGCAGACATGAATCCTTGTAAAAAAAGGTTTCAGTTTTGTTGCCAGAAAAAAAGGGGAAAAACCCTATTCTTACATTTTGGAACTGGCAAAGGAGGTCTAATGATGTAGGGGCTTCAACGCTGTCCCTTCGTTCCACACAGAGCTGCAGGCGACGAACAGCACATGGAGCTTCGGCGGACTGTACGACACGGAGAGCTACCACCCCTTCCTGATGGACGAGGAGAGAGGGCAGCTCTACCTTGGGTCCCGTGACTACCTGTTCGCTCTCAACCTGGAGAACATCAGCTCAGACCACCGGAAGGTGACCCGTTAAACGTGGGGCACCATGCCAAACAACGCGCAGCGGCTCTGGGCGTTTGCAATCCGCCGTGGTCGACACACGCGGAGGTGAAAGGAGGAGAGCATTTAGGAACCCTGAAAAAAATACGAGGGTGATTTTGTTATGAATTCTAGAGTCAATTGGGAGGTATGTGGAGAGATTTCAAGGTTGGTGAAACGCGATCGTCACCGCAGACATTCCTGTCGCCATTATTGAGTTCACCCCTTTTTTGTTTTAATTCAGCCACGGCGATGCAGTCGATAGGGTGTGCCGTTATTAGGGCGTGTGACTCTCTAAGTCGGAGGGTTGCGAGTTGAAATCCTTGGTAGGGATCGACTCAACCCATCTTCCCTCCAGGGTTTATTAAATGATTACCGCTTTGTTAAAAGTCAGCAGCGATTTCAGCGACAGTAAAAGTGCGGATATTAGCACATCTTATACTTCTGGCATAAGCAACACGTTGCTCACATCACACTGGTGGGGACAGGTGAAGGGCCAACTTCTGATACAAGCAACGCTGCTTTGGATATAAGCACTGCTGGCCTGTCTCCCAAGGGGGGTGCTTACATCTTGAATCCTCTGTATTGATAGTGGCCTCTATTGTAATGATCTAGAACGTCTATTACTTGCTCAGTTTGACAATACCAGGCCACTTTGTTTGTTTGAGTATGTAGCCGTGTAGACTTTTGAGAATTAGCATCGCAGTCTCACCAGACACAGCCAAATAATTTAGTGAAACAATTTTCGGCCCGACAGCACATATCTGCACACGACCTCTTTGACAAACAGATCCCTGATGCGTTCGGTTTTAAGGATCAGGCAAAGTGTTATACACTTTACATGCACATCGATTTTGGTTTAATTGCAGCTACTCTCGATGGGGTCTAAGTGTTAGGTGTGTTTTGTGTGTGTGCAATACTAAAATCTCCCTACACTCTACATGTATTGCCGATTATCAATCCACTGCTGGATGAGGGGATTCCCTTGTAGGGCAGATCACGGAGGTTATTAGACCATATATGACGAGGTTTGAATGATCCGCTCAGTTACTTCAGATCGGGCTAAGCGTTAGGCTCCGTTTTTGTGTGTCCAATGCCACGATCTACACGTACACGTATTGCCGTTAATCAATCAACTGCTGGATGAGGGCCTCCCTTTGCAGTGTAGGTCACGGAGGTTATTCGACCGCACACAATGGGATTGGAATGATTATTTCACAATGATCTCTGGTTCTTTCGGTAAAGTCACATAGATAGAAAATAGTAATAGAAGAACACGACGTTTCGGTCGCAACACAAGCGTCCGCCATCAGGTGAGAAAGAATGATCTGCTGTTGTGGCTTTATATATGCATGGGAGGGGGGGGGGAGGTTTTGTAGAGTCGTGGCTGCAATGCTTGATAACTCAGTTCAACCACGGGTGACTGTCCAGATTCCAAACCCAGGTTCTCACCATTTTTTGCCTCTCCGTTCCCACCGCGGAGCCACCTGGCCACCTCATTAAACACACATTTTAAGTAAAACAAAAATCAAACCTACATTGGGGAACTTGTATTACAGCGTACAGTTCATGTTGTTGTATTTTCTCATGTATTACAGAATAAATGCAATTCACATCATTGGAGTGTGTTTGATGGCAATGGCTTTCATAGCAATGTTTTCATACGGAAACCACAATAAACCGCTATTATGCATACACTGATATGTATATTCTTTGGGTTATACAGCAGGCACACAGATGTTTGTGCGATTTGTTCATTGTACGACTTACAAAGAAAAGAAATCATATCCAAGTCCAAATTGAGGCATGCGTGCTTTAAAGTAACGCTGGGCAGACCATTTTTCCAAATTAGCTTTTTTAAGTAACAAATATTTGAAAGGGCCTTTAAAATTATATATATGTGTATGTATGTGTGTGTTTGTGTGTATGTGTGTGTGTATGTGTGTGTATGTGTGTATTTGTGTGTGTATGTGTATATGTGTTTGTGTGTGTGTATATGTGTGTATGTGTGTGTGTAGCGGTTAGCGCGCTGCGCTATGAACCTGGCGACCCGGGTTCGATTCCCGCTCACTGCCAACACCAGTGACGATTATCTGAACCGGTCCCGGGCCTCCCCTGGGTCGACTCAGCCTCAAATGAGTACCTGGTGCGGTGTGTAAACATTGCCACTAGGGAGACAAAGGCGGTCAGGCGTGGTGCTGGCCACCCACCCCCCCGTGTACCGTTCCGGCCTTCATAGGTGCTCGCTAACAGCACTTGCCCCTACAGTCTGTTAAGGCTATATGGGGGATCTTTGTCTTGTGTGTATGTGTGGGGAGCGATAGTGTAGCGGTTAGCGCACTGCGCTATGAACCTGGCGACCCGGGTTCGATTCCCGCTCACGGCCAGCACCAGTGACGATTATCTGAACTGGTCCCGGGCCTCCCCTAGGTCGACTCAGCCTCAAATGAGTACCTGGTGCGGTGTGTAAACATCGCCACTAGGGAGACAAAGGCGGTCGTGCGTGGTGCTGGCCACCCACCCCCTCGTGTACCGTTCCGGTCTTCATAGGTGCTTGCTAACAGCACTTGCCCCTACAGTCTGTTACAGGCTATATGGGGGATCTTTGTCTTTGTGTGTATGTGTGTGTGTGCTTCAAAGGTCCCACAGGACAGTAGGTTAATTGCAAAGTTTTACGATTAAAAGTAACAGAAATATATATTGATGATGAATATCTGCCGATTGCTGTTGGGATAATAGAAATATATATTATTCGAATGTCAATATATCTTTTTTTTCAGGACTCTGTACTTTTAAGGATATTTATTGGGGCCTTTGGCACATTACAATGTATAGAAGGTTTGTTCATTCTATTAAAGTCTATATTTTTTAGACTTGAACATTAAAATGATTATTTTTGCGATCTTGCATAAATGTTAAACCCCCTTGCGAGTCTGTAGAACGACTTGAATTGCAAGTAGCTACGGTATTGCACGTGTGCGTATGTGTGTGCTTCATTGACCATGCACGACTTATTATAAATTATTAAAGAGTGCCTGCAATGATTTAATATCTGCACGTGTTTGTAGGTTGCCCTTTTGGGCGATAATTAAATGTGACACCCTCTTCCCATAGTCTCACGGATTTCTCTGGCTTACTGATTCCTGGGCATTGTTAAACTAGCTTCCAGGTGTTAATTCAGTGGAGAAAATAACGGCGGGACGTCCCAGGTACGTTTGTAACGGCCTTTAAGTGACCTTTCAACTTGGGCATAGCATGTCAACCAGGTTGGACTGAAAATCCGAGAAAGTAGTTGCTCCCCTCTGTTGACAATGCTCATGAAGTAGCATGGTGTCGGATGCACTCGGATGAACTGACTTTTTCATCGGCGTATTCAGTTTCATGAAAGCATCACGAAATATTGTTGCACTCCATTTATATGTTCATTTTATATATATATATTATAAAATGAATGCACGGCAGAATTCTTTTTCCTAGGGGTACAACGGTGACAGTGATCGGGGTGACATACGTTTGATTCAGTCGGACTCCCCTACACCGACCCACCTTGATCAGCATGGTGAAGTACGGTCAAATAACCCTTGTGACCAACGTGTCACGAGGGGGGAGAGGGCGGCTTGATCCAGCAGTGGGATGGACAAGGGCTGCAAATTATAATCAGAATAATTTCTATATTTTTTCACAAAACGCGAACCTGTTACAGCCCGTCGCGTAACTCGCAATCGCAAGATTGCAGAGAATCGTACCGGTGCAACGGAGCCGTATATGGGGGGGGCGGGGGGGGGGGGTAAAAGGAGTGGAATGGGGCCTGCTGCCCCAACTAAGTGAGGACGTAAAGTCGAGGAGATGTTACTCAGATTAATTGTTTCAAAAAAATGTATACCCACGGTGTGCCATTTACAGATACGAAACGTTGTTTTACTCTTGCCATTTCATGTTTGTATTGCTTTCTTTCCGGTGCAGATTTTCTGGCCCTCGGCGAGCGAATGGAAGGACGACTGCAGAGCGGCCGGGAAGGACCCCAAAGTAAGTGGCTCACGCCCATGGTGTCCACATGGAGCCAGCTTGGCAGGAACGAGCAGCTCCCTCTTATAATTTGTCTGGCGCCCAGAGCCACTTATATGAAGGGAACTATTTGTGGTTTCCGTGACATAATGTACGCATTCCCATGGGCAACGCATTGCATACAGATGCCACAGACGTGCCATGCCGTCCATCGGGAGCTTAGTAAATTTATGAAATTCTGATCTGCTTAAAAGCCGTCCTCTCTATTATAACTTGCAGGCCCAAGTGGCTAACTTTTGTATCCTCACTCATTTTTAGCAGCAGATGAACAACAACAGTAGTCCAAAATAAGACGGCTATAAGAGTGTGGGTTCTAAATCATACTTAGACATGTTACCAGCATTAGACTTTCAAAAAACACATTACACAAATAATTATATTGGATAAATAATGCAACATGCTTCACATTATAAATTGAAGTATATTAAGTCACGATTCAAAAGTAAGTGCCAAGTAAGTCATAAGGAGTAGATTGATATTTACTTTTTAAGAAAAAATAAATATATTACATACACACACATACAATAGTATTCATAGTAGACTTTGAAACTTTCCAAGGAAGGAAAATAAGAGTCAACGTCTCAAGCAAAAGGGCCTTATGTCAGGATTTGCTTGGAAGGAAAAAAAAGTAGGAACCAGGAAATTAAAATAAAATATGAAATCAAAACAGTTTGGGTTCAAGCTCTGTTCCTTTGCACAATGTGAATGTGTCGGCTGGCCGGGTGGGAGGGAGGAGAGCGCGTGGCTAGGGCACGGCAGACAGGACGCAGACGTTAATGGACAAGAGCGCGGCTAACGATTCTGCGAGGGAGGAGGAATGGGAGAGTACGGGCGGCGGTATTGACACCGTGTATAGCGGAGGGATTATGCTGTCAAAATGGCTAAAACAACAATCAGGCGCGTGCACGTGCATGTGTGTGTGTGTGGAAGTGGCGACAACTTGCGGAGAGCGTGGTGTCCGAGCGAGTGCGATGGAGACGAGATCAAACATAATGGCATTACTTATTTAGGATGCTGTTCATACACGGGGGTTATGGCCTGCCTGCCTGCCTGTCCGCTTGCTTGCTTTCATGCTGTGGGGTGCAGTCAGATTGTATCCCGAGATGGTAACACGGAGCTGCGCTCACAACGAGATACGATACGTCGATGCAAATTACATTTCAATTGCGCATTAGTATCGATTGACGTCTGGTCCAACTGAGCTGTGCAAGTCAACTTCAGTGGTAATGAAGTGCAGTCGCAAGCTATCATATTCACGCATCTCCCTATTCCTCTGTGTGGCATTCACGCTTAGAAGCTATATACTGTAAATCTAAATCGTATTAGTCTGCGGGCAGCATATTGCAGCTTCCACAATTGATGTCCTCATCGGTCAGTCTCTATCCATTGCTGGATGAGGTTTCCCCGTGAATAGTGTTGTCATTGCCGCTGGTGCGAGCAGCGATCCATCGCCCCACTGACACCATGGGCTGTATGTATGCATGCTGAACTTCTTTTGCACCGTACGTAGCCAACCGTGCTAATTGGAGGTGCGGGGGAAGGACAACAAACTAAAGACAAAAAGCAGCGCTAAAGAAATGAGTTTTCATTCCAGATTATTCAAAAGTGGATAGCTCCAGTGGCTTCCTAATATCGGAAGGAAAAGCGTTCCAGACGGTCACAGAATCACATCTGCAAGCGCGCGATGCAGTGGTTGTATTTGTCCGATGGCTGGCTAAAAGCCACTGCAAGGGTGGCCGGAGGTCGCGTGATGCTTTATGCTCCTTTACAAGATCAGCAAGGCTGTGCAGGTGACCCAAAACGGGGGAGCTGCATCACTTGAAGTGATGCTCTGAGACAGGGTGGCAACATTTTAATGAAAGTTTCCACAGTGTGAATGGTATCAATTCCAACAAGTGCAAGGTCATTATCAAAAATAGCAGGGCACTATATATATAAAAAAGTACATGGTGCTCTTTGATGGAGTCAGATGTTGATAAAAGACAGAACCCTGAGTGGTTTGGCACTGGCAAGCACTCTGTTTTGAATGAAAGCAGACTGAAACAAATCTCAAAAAATGTAAATGCATCTAGAGCGTTTTTGGTCTCGTATGACAATTCACATTGCTTTGGGCCAAACTTTACCTTTTAAATATATATTGGTGTGGATTTCATTAAAGTTGGTTCCATTTAATGAAATACTCTGGCGCTTCATATTGGATTAAAATATAATTCAGTATATTCTATGTGTCAGCAGTCTAAGAAAACGTTATTTAAGCTGTTTAGGTTCATCGTAATGACCTAGACAAAGAAACATTTATGTCTAGAGAAGTGTCACTGCAATTCTTGTGTCAACAATCTTTGTTGAAATGTTACACAGAACTCTGGTGAAAGGTCAGTGGCACCTGATAACCAAAACTGTCTTAGGGTATAAAACGTTATTCATTCAAGTGGGGTAAATGGCATTCGACTGTTTACGTGGCCACTACCCTTTTCTTTGCAATTCTAACACTCCATAAAACACATTAACCGCACAATATTACTTAATCGCTTAATTCAGGCAAACCACATCCCAACATTGACCCCGACTGGCAGGCGCGAGCGTAAACACCCAATTCAGTCAATTGATGAATGTATCCTAGGCGCCTTGATTCGCCAACGTAAGAACGAACGTTTTTCAATGTATGTGTCTAATCGCTTCACATGATCTCTCTAGCCACTCCAGGTGCTACCGTTCACCCGAATCTCGACGATGAATGGGGAGGGGGGGGGGGGAATTATTCCACCTTTACAATGCGCCCTCTTTGAATAATAACACGACGTCAAAAAAATCAATTGCATTGTAATGATGTTCTTGATATCCTACACCAATTCACCTGTACGGTACATGCACGCAGTCTATACACCGTGTTTAAATATTTCTGGAGTTTTTTTTTTATTTGCCACGAGCTCTACTGGTGCCAATAAGTCAACCGTGTGTGTTCGGGCATCGGTTGAAAATCAGTTTTTTGTAATTCTACGTACGCCAATTATAAATTATTGCTTTCAGACGGATGCAATGATTTATTATTCACACGTGCCGCAAACGGCCTTGCCGAGAGGCGTATTTAGCGGCATAATATCCCCACGTGCATCCAAATCGTCAATCGAAGCACGTGTTTGCACTCCGCTCTCTCTGGATCTGCTCGCGTCAAATATGCATGCCGCTTCTCGAGAGAGGGGCTGGAGTTGACATGTCCGACGGGTGTCATCCCCCCCCCCAGCCCCCCCCCCCCAGCCCCCCCCAGCCCCCCCCCCCCCCCCTTCACGGTGGAAAAATTTGCTCACTCAATTTGTCGCAAAGCGCTCAGCCAGAAGCTGGGTTCACTTTCGGAGCAAACCGGTGAGCCAAAATGAGCGTGTTTGTTTTAGCGTTGCCAGAGGGTTGGGTATGGATGAAGTTGAGAGGAGGGAACGTGCTTGCCAAAAAATATTCTTAACTTTTCGTAAAACCTTGCAGTCCACAAGAAAATCGGGGGAGGGGGGGGAGGGGCGGTTGAAATAAAATGTGGGGAGAAGGAAGGAGAAATAATTTTCCATTCCACCGTGAATGAGCTGTCACTTTGTTAATCCTCGTGCCTAAATGTGTCCATAGAAGTGTTTTGAGGACTAGTACATTCAGGAAATCGGCTGCGAGGTCCTCGGAGAAATAAGTGGCATTCGTCTGCTATTTGTGTTGACGCGGTATTTTGCTGGTTGGATGTGTCTGCTGGCAAGAGTTGGCGGAGCAGCGTTTTCCACGCCGAAACTAAAAAAAACGTTAAGTCAAAGCTTTCTTTCCGTACTCATTTTGAACGTGAAGTTGGATGACTCTAGGGCCACGGGTCGTTTTCATATCTGATAATTTGTTTAGAAGGCATTGAAGTTAGGGGGGGTAAGTCCAAAATTGGATGCCATTCAACTTCAAGTTTTAAGTCACCATCTACGTTCTCATCAACAGACTAAAGTGACATTTGCACTTGCCAGGCCCTCTCAGTTCACTCACAAGAGCCCAGCTTAACCACATCTGCATTTGTGCAAGTTTCTGATGTATTCGCCGACGCTGCAACATAGCCACACAAAATGAAGTAAATTATTGTCACTGGTTGCTGAGGGGGGGGGGGGGTGTGTGGAACTATGCAATCTTCAAACTAAGACTGGTTGGCTTTTATTCCAGCTCTTGAGCAAAGCTGGGGTAAAAAAAAAAAACACCTCTGCCTGAAGTTACACTTTAGCGCGACTGGGTAGTGTGTGTGTAAGGGCGGATCTGTGACTGGGTTAGTGTGTGAAAGAAGCGAATGTGTGACTGGGTTTGTGTGTGAAAGAGCGAATGTGTTAATGCTTTTAAATTCAACCAGGCCTGACCAAAACTGGGGGGGGGGGGGGGGGGGGGGGCGGGGGGGTTGGACAGTCTGGCAAGCCAAAAATTCCCTTTTATATTCACTTGCAAGCCTCCACGGTCAGAACGTAATCCGGCTTCCCACGGTCCATCTACCTTACTAGGACGCACCTGCATTCAGGACCACTGCCTTACTCACATAAACAGAGGCTGTGAAGGGCTCTTACTGATGAGAAATTCTGCAGATGCTCCATGAACAGTGCCCGCCCGCCCCATAAGGCCCCGGGAGAAGGAACGCGAGGAATTGCAGAGACCAAAGCTCAGCTTTAAAGTGTCACGAGCCCCGTTCTCTCCGCGTTCGGCAATGCGCTCATTGTTTTCTAGCGTCCGTCGGTGCCTGCCCTACTCGAGAATTTGTAATTGTGACTGGAAGCAAAGTGGCATTGTTGGCGGGGGGGGGGGGGTGGGCGGCGAGGAGGAAAAGGGAGAGCCCGATGGTGGGTGGCTTGAATGACAGGTAACTATACCAACACTATGGTGCAAGGCAAAAATAATAATAATAGATAGCTTTCCCACGGCAAACCCCAGAGTGACATAGCACGTCCTTGCCTTGTAACGTTCCAAGAGGGGTGTTTTGACCCCCCCTCCCTCCCCTCGTGCCTCCAGGCTTGCTCTTGACTTGGCTGGAGTTGAACGGCATTTCTCTTATTTTACTGCCTTTGAAATGAAAGATATATTACATTATTTAAATGTGGGGGGTGGTGGTGGGGGGGAAACCCAGACTCCCAATGTAACTGGAGAAATTAATGAGTGAGACGGATCGACCTGTGGCTATCGAGCACAATAAGCTAGTCTCTACCGACGAAAAGGTACAGTCGGTCTCATTGCAAACCGAAACGCTTTATAACATCATCGCCGTCATCAGCCATGACCAATCCACTGCTGAATAAATGCATCCCAAAGCCATAGCCATCTCGCACAGCCCCGCCATGTAATAATTATCCCTCAAACAGATTCACACGAGCAGATGTCACCGCTCCGTCTCCTCGGCATACGGACTGCTCTCGCACGTTCCCCACCCTTTAGTTATTCTCGACCACCAGCCATCGTCTCGATAAGGGACGCGTCCCTGTCCTAGCCCACTGACCTTTGTGAACGTTTGTGAAAAGGAAACAAGAAGATGGCTGGACATCTGTGGACACCTGATGTGCCGCTCATCGGATTTCCACCACTATATTCTGATTAACGGTCAGAATGCTGTCAGCGATTTGGATGTATTATTACACGGAATGTGAGGATTTATAAAGTCATACAGGGCACTTGTCTCTCGACAGATCACCATTAAATTGTTACAATCCTTGAGGAACTCAAAATTTCAGCAGGGTTGAACCTGGTTATTACTTTGATAGGTTACCATGGGGTTCCCGGGTGTTGCAGGCGTGTGACGAGCAGGTGGTCAGGAGACAGCGGCGTTGTGCTACCTCCTTAGGTGCAAGGGTTTTCTCTGGGTTCTATGGTTTCCTCCCACATGCCACGCGTGAATGAACTTGTCCAAACATGCCAATAGAGAACCCTTCTGAAAAAAGAGCCTTAAATCTCAGGCTATTCCTGGATAAACAATGGGGTTTATTATTATTATGTTCGCATTTTGTGTGGGTTATCGCTAAATTCTGGTTACGTTAAGAGATAGGCAGACACTCATTTATGGAAGTGGCTACACATCCCATTGCAGAACTCGCCCGATAAAGTCTTGAGAATCAGCGAGGGCCTTTTGGCATCATCTGTCAAACGCTCCCATTTTTTTTCGTTGTTTATTCCATGGATTCAAAACACAGAACACGCGAGCGAGGCAAACGTATAAATAACAATCGAAATAAGCCTTTTGACGAACGATTCTTGGAAGAACGACGTAAAACAAAACAAAAAACCAACCCGTCGCTTCGGCGGCTGACCGCGGGTGACGGCCGTGCGTTGCAGACGGAGTGCGGAAACTACGCGAAGGTTCTGCACCACTACAACCAGTCGCACCTGCTGGCGTGCGGCACAGGCGCGTTCCATCCCGTCTGCAACTACGTGGGAGTGGGCCGCAGGGCCCGGCCACAGGTATGTCTGTCCGCGGAGACGTCTTCTGCGATGATGAGCGGGATGCCATGCCCCCCCCCCCCTCCCCCAAGCCTGCCTGTCACCCGATCGCCGACGTTGCTTACGCTGCGACACGGCGCGTCGATCCCCAGCAGCGGACGTCTGCAGCTTGCGTGGCCCTTTTTATTTTTTTCGTGGAGGTTGGGTGGTGGGGGTAGTGGGGGGGGGGGGGGAGTTCAGGTGTTGAGCCTGGGGCATTCGTGCTCGGTTAATTTCGGATAGATGTGGCTGGGCTGCCATCTGTGAGGCACATAAAAAACTGGGGACGTGTAATGGGAAGACAAGACTACCCCACGCTATCACGAGGGAGGAGGACTCCATATAAATGCATCAAAGCGAGTAGCGTATATATATATTTTTTGGCACGGACTTTTTAATGTCCTGCGCAGACATACGGATTCCCCAGGACAGCTGCCTCGCGTAGAGGACATTGCGAGAAAAAAAAAACCCAGGACAGGTGGCAACTGTAGTTGTAGCGACGGCGGTGGTGAATCTCGTTTCCTGTGGCGGTGAATGAACCAAATGCAAAAGAGGCTCCCCTCCCTGAGTCACCAGCTCCCACCCCCCCCCCCCCCCCCCCACGTCTTCCACTTGCAACCCCATTCTGACTTCTCACAAATGTGTGTCATGCATTCCTTCCTTTTCCTGCCCATAACATGCCAGTATTAAATTTGGAAATGTATATTCACAAAGCGTTAGGAGTGTTTCTTCGAATGCCCAATGGCAGACGGCATGAGCTGTGGTGATGCTAGGGGGTGGGGGGGGGTGGTGCAGTAGCACAGTGGTTTGTGCTTTGTGCTATGAAATCCACGACCCGAGTTTGATCGCCGGTCACGGCTAAGGGGCCGTCCATAAATGACGACACGCACCTGGGGTGGGAGGGGGAGGTCAGACATTTGTGACGATGTGTGACAAAGGGGGGGGGGGGGGGGTTGAGAAATGTGACGTCACATCAAAATGCGCAACTTTAAATAAATATCGACAACACGTTCTACTTAATTAAAAAGACTTTTTAATAAATGTTTTCTCCTACAACATCAGAGTGCAGTGCCACATTAAATACGCACTACAATGGCAATAGTTTAAAGCTATTTGAAGCATGTTTTATATATTTTGGGGGGGAGGAGGGGCAGAGCTTTGTGACGTCATATTTGAAGGGGGGGGTCTGATTTTTTGTGACGTGTGACGAAGGGGGGGGGGGGTAAAAAATCGTCCAATATCGCGTGACGTCATTTATAGACGGCCCCTAACCCACTAGTGACCAAGTGATGTCTGAACCCGTTATGAATCCTCACACCCATTAACCATCCCGTACTGACCGGCATGACGAAGTAAGTTTGGTCAAACAACCACCATGGCAACAACGGCACGAGGAGGCCCTTCATCCAGCAGTAGATTGGCAAGGGCTGAAAAAGTTTATTGTGTTAAGTTTAAATATTATATTTCAGAAACGTTTGAATTGACCGACCTTACAATATTTATTTATTCTCATGTACAGCAAATGTTCGTAGAATAGAATATGTTCCTGGCCTTTAAATATCTTCATGAGAATAATGATTTTAATATCCAAATAATGAATGCATCTGTAATAGGTTTACTCGTTCATTTGATGTTTTATGCTCATTACTTGCTCATATATCAGTGTGTCTCATTCCACCTTGGCCCACATTACAACCCAGCCAGGGCAGATACACACACAGCTGCATCACTTCCCATTCGAGATAGGAGCCCTATCTCGCGAAACTTTGGAGAGCAATTCGTGTCCCGTGCTAATTGGTCTCTGGAGGAATGTGTTTGGGTCTCCACATCGCAATGCTGTTTCTCGTCTCGTACTGGGCTATTTGAAGAAGGCCTACACCGGCCACACCAAACGGGGGCCCAGCAAATGCGGTGGAGGAGTCCCTTTTACTTGTGCAGGCGGAAGGCCAGTTCACGGACATAATGGACGATATTGGCTTGAGCCCCAACTCATTTTTCCAAAGCAGAGTAAAGTGCTTCTGGTACCAAGAAAGAGGGTGGCTGTCGTAACTGCGAATAACAAACATCTTTAGCTTTTCGGCAAAAGTTTAGTTTTTTTTACGTGGCTGTCCTGTGCAATTTTTTTGAAGCCTTCTCAAACGTAGAAATATTGAGTTGCCTTTTTTAATTTACATTACTTGTTGTTAAATATGCAGTTATATATAGTAGCATAGTGTCCCACTAATGAGGTGTCATTCTGTGATCGTACAAATGGTAAGGTAAGGTTAATCTTGAACAGCCCATTGTTAAGGTAGCCTCGTGGTTAGGTGGCTAATAAGTTGGCAAAGCACTGAGCCAGTGGAACTGTTAGATCCTAAATTAGAATCCAGAGTACCATCTGTGATTGAACAGAGGTATCAAGGGTAGCTGTAAGGACTAAGACAAATGTGTGTATGTATGTCGATCTTCTTTCGCAGCGTACGTAGCCAACCCTGATAATTGGAGGTGTGGGTGGGAAGGAAAACAGACTAAACACAAAAGGCAATTCTACATAAATGAGTTTTCAATATAGATGATTTTAAAGTGCATAGTTCCAGTGGCTTGCTAATATCGGAAGGAAGAGCATTCCAGACGGTCGCAGAAACACATCTGAAAGCACGCGATGCGGTGACCGTCTTTGTTCAGCCACTTTGAGGATGACCGGTGTTCGGAGAATCTGGTTTGATTGCTGTGCAGCGAATGGCCTCCATTGCAGGGCACGTCAGAAGGGGCACTCCTCAGTGTGCATGAGCCAATTAAAGAGTGCTCGGTCTTCCAGTGGTCGTTCTCTAACTGCAGTGAGCAACAATTATGAATGGAAACATGTAATTGTTTCCATTCATAATATAGACAAATAAAATCATTTTCAACAGAAACTTAATTCTGGAAGCCAGTTAAGTCTCAACAGTCACTTCGGACGAAATGTGAAAACGGTGTGTGTCCTAGACGGGTGTTTCTCAACACTAGCCCTCCCAACTCGCCACGAAATCGCTGCCTAAGATTACCAACCTTAAGGTTGGTTAATTTGTATCAAAAGTTAAAGGTGCAGCCCTGCAATTACTTGGGCACACCACTTCTCGCCGAAGGGGCTTTATTGTGAGCCTCCCCGTCCACAGAGTATTTGACCTACTCGTCCATGGTGACCAGACATATTGGAGGAGGTGGGAGTACTCACACGTCACCCCCTCCCACACGTGGTGACCTGCCAATAGTCTATGGTGTACCAAGTTTCTCACTGCTGGGCAGACACAAAACTGGGGGATTTCAGACATTTTGCCCAATGTTTCAAAAATGCAAGGAGATTGAATATATACGGGCCTCTTGATCGCAAGCTCAGTTTGCTCACAATTGCACCGCGGCAACTCTTCCGTATGGATTGGTATCAACAAAAGAGGTGGGCACAGGTGGTTCAGGGGGAGTTGAGAAACTGCCATTTCGACCAAAGTTTACAGAGACCACAGCAGCGGAGAATCCCACTGAGTATCCACGCTGGTCCACATGTGCCACCTACTGGAATATTATACGCAGTACCGCCAATGTGCATCTAACGCGAATATCTCTAGCCACGCATACATCCATTGCAGGCGGTGTGCAATACTAAGGTACTACTAATAATGCAAATGTTAAAGTAATTAATCGTGGAGTGATGAATCGATTAAAATAACTTACTGGTAATGATACGTGCATCGATTCATGTATATACCAGTGCATTCACAATGTATACATTGTGCTATATATGTGTGAATGTATAAGCATGAAATAATAAGTCACTCCAGCTATATGATGGATTGTCACGATTCAGAGCTGTGAATCAATTATAATTTTTACTTTTATTGCCTCGTTTTTACCGTCTTGATCATGTTGTTTCTCATTTTGGCTGTCTCCTTTGTGCAGTTTAACAGTGCAGTTTTGTTCATGCCTTGAGCCTAATTGTAACAACAGCATACACATTACAATTACACGTATCGCAACCATAGGAATCAATTTATAACAATGGATCGATGCATCATAACAATGGATCGATGCACCCTTCCCCGCACCTCCGATTAGCATGGTTGGCTACGTAGTTCAAAATACATAAATATGTACCTTTACTGTAGGTGAATAGAACAGAGCAAATTTCGATTTAAAGCTTTCGCGACTGCAGGGATTCATCTTATTGGTTCTTTCGGTAAAGTCACGTAGAATTGAGATAAAATAATAAAAATAAAACATAATAAAATAAAATAATTCTCACGACGATTCGGCCAGAACACAAGTAGCCTTCTTCAGGTGAAGAAACAGGACTGTCCAGAAGGCAGCGCGTCGTGAGAATTTTTATTTTATTTTATTATGTTTCATTTTTATTATTTTATCTCCATTCTACGTGACTTTACCGAAAGAACCAAGAAGAAGAACAGGGCAAATAACATCAAAGACAGACAACAGTACCGCAACTGTGGAGCCTCAACACTTGAACCTCTGGAAGAGATCATTGATTATTGAAATTGAGACGAAAGGCTTAATAGCTAGAGGCGTTAATCATTACACTTCAAGCTCACGGTTCTATGTTGCATCCTCTATTTCCCGGTTTGGTTTATTTACTGTCGGCGGTACAGCGGTAGAGGAAGCGGTTCACAATCACAATCAGGTTGGGAATTAAAATCTCAGTCGGGGATTGACTCAGCCCTTCGCCTCTGAGAATGTTTGGGGGAAGTCAGGAGCGGCTGTGCGATGGAAAGTTAGCAATGTGGAATTTCCACCGATGGTTCATGGCTGTAAGGAGATGAGCACCGCTCCCAATCTCAAACCCACTCGTGACGTTACCACGTGTGTTTCATTTCAATCCAGGACCGGGAGTTTCACATGGACATCAACCACGGGGAGGGAGGAAAGTGGAAAAGTCCATTTGACCCCACGATCCCCATTGCCTCCATCCTCGTGGGTGAGTCTCTGCCCTGCATCTCCTCTGTTGCCTCCATAATCTGCAACTCATTGCTCCCAGCCATCTCTCTGCCCACTGTTCAAGTTCCATGCTCCAAGGTCTTCCGGTTTTCCACTGCCTAACATGGTTTAGAGCAGCGGTCGGCAACCTGCATCTCCCGAGCTGCATGGGGGCTCTTTAAGTAACTGCTCTCGCGGCGTCATTTATGAAGGACCACCTTCTCATATTCACATGTATTGCGGCTCTTGAAATAGTGAGTATTTGGCTACTATAAATTTTCACGTGACAAGCCACTTCGTTGAGCTATCCCTTGTGGCCAGATCGCATCTGAATAAAGCTACATAGCTCAATGGACCTTACCTGGTAAAATAAAAAGTAAAGAAGTTTAGTTTTAGTTGGTTTAGACTGCCTCGCTCTCCTCGTGTTTCACGCCACTGACGTGCGTGAGCGACTCCCTACGCTCAATTCGTGCGCGTTATACATCGGACAAGTGATACAGAACAAACTTGCCCACTGTTTTTTTTTTCTGTACAGCCTCTATGAGATGCAGTTGCATTCAAATGATATAGAAACGCAAGCTCGATTGAATTGTATTTCAACCACAATTATTATATTTTTTTAAAAACATTTTCCCAAGATGCAAGGCTGGCTATTGTTAAAGGCTGACTAAGATTGCACTGGGACTGAGGCACACATGCTGTGATGGTAATGCCTCACTGGTTCGCATTCATTCAACAAGGCACGGTGTATGCAATGGAGTTTGGTAATTCCACTGCAGGTCATGTTTTCTATTATGCGCACATGTGCAATCTTTATTTTGGTTATATTCGACAACAATAATGATTTGCATGTACATAGCACCGGAATGCCACGGTGCCTCAAGGCACTTTACAAACATGCTCGTAAACTAGAAAAGGAACGGAAAGTGATGCAAGTAAATAGGAATAAAGGAATTATAGCATTGAGAAAACAGCAGGCAGCGGAAATTAACACTCAGTCACCACGTACGAAACGACACAATCTGTAGAGGAATAAGAGCCCATGACTCAAAAATACCCAAAATATATATTTTTAAGGCAAATTAATCGGTCAGGAAAATGGGAACATAATGACCAACTTTTAGCGATGTGATTTTATTATCCAATGAATAATCACCGAGTCAAAAGCCTCATTCAGGAGGGACATAGATTAAGGTGCGTGGCCATTTATTCTCACCGGGATATCTTTCACGCGGGAAGAAATCCCGAGTTACGTGAAGACAACCCACAAGCCCCCATTCGACGATTTACACTCACGAGGTGAGCGACCGTACCACATTGATACTAACAAGGGCGGCGGGGCGATCGTACCAAATGTAGAGGGAGAGCTGTTCAGCGGAATGGCGACCGACTTCATGAGCCGGGACTTCGCGATCATCCGGAGCCTGGGAAGCCGACACTCGGTGCGCACCGAGCAGGACAACTCACGCTGGCTCAACGGCAAGTTCACAATGGTCACCGCCCTGGTCATATGTGATTCCGGACACCCGTGTAATCTTTGCATTTGCTCATATATATTTTTTTCTCCTTCTTCATATTTCCCATTCTTGTTTTTGGTAAAGCACGTGTTTTTTAATATTCATATTCTTTGGGTTTTTCGGTAAAGTCACGTAGATACAAATAAAAAATATCACGACGTTTTGATCGCAATGCAAGGAATCGTCATCAGGCGGAGGAAAGAGGGAAGCTGCTGATGCAGGCTGAATTTAAAAGTTTAGAAATGTGTTTTTAATTGTTATTTTTTGTTTCAAGTGTTATATTAAACGTGCATTTTGAATATTTGCCTTTCCATTCATAGTCTGCATTTAGAATCGTACGATTTAACAACACTCTTTCCGTGTTATCTGTATTCATCCTTACATAGAACAGTGTATAGTAAAACCTCGCGAAGTTGGACTTATTGGAACCTCTCTCGTGTCAGGCATACTGCACACAATTAAACAATGTTCAATTATTACAGTTAAATTTCTAATTTACGTAATTAACACCGTATACATTTAATTTTCGTGTACTTCCTTAGTAATGCAATAAATAACAATGATGAGCACGTTTGGTTACGTACGGTGCAAACGAGGTTCAATATATGGTACAAACATACATACGGTGTGTAGTTTAATCCTAATCACTTACAACAAGCAAAGATGCAGAGGCGAGATGCCCAGTTTCACCGGACGTGGCAGGCTAAAAATATATATTTTTTAGAACCATTAATTTCGTGTGCTGTACTGTATTCGTCAAGCAAATCGCAAAAAAACATTGATGAGAGGATATAATCAGCATCACAGTCCCAACTTGCAGGCGCGAGCATGCCACCGCCAAACTGAATTTCACCTTTGAGGTTTTACCATGGAAAACCCACACGCGTATATCGGTGTTTTTTTTATTTAATACAACAGTAGAGTTCTCAATACTCTCTTTGCAGTTTATATTCTGCCAGGTTGGTTCCTTGTTCGTGGCCTCCATGAGGAGTTTGTAGTTTCATTTGGGCGCTAATTTGCTGAGCGTGTTACACGCCTTCCACGTGCAGGGGTTCACTGAATTGTATCCAACCGATAAGTAAATGCTATGTATATATATTCTCTGGGTGTTTCGGTAAAGTCACGTAGATGGTTCAAAGACAATAACAAAAAAATGTATACAGCTCTATAAATGCTAGTGCGTCCAGGCGCATAAAATTAAATGTACACTACAGTATTACACTGCATAGCCTTTATAAGCGCATAGCCAATTCGCTACTGCTGCATGCAGTTTAACTCGCACCCAAAACAGCATACAGTATATGTTTATTTACGTTGTGATTGTCTCTACGGTATTTGTTTATCTCTGTGGCCTTTCTGACTTACCCGGAATTCCGGCTTACCTGCCTCCGGCTTCGTGAGGGTTTACTGAATTGCAGAATATGCCATTCCTTCTCGCAGTCTTGCTCTCACCTGCCACAGAGGTTGCTGTGGCATAAAGTGAACCAATTAATGTATCTTCCTCTCAGCCACTGGTAATGTCAATCAGTGAGGTCGGGTAGGCCAAGGTACAGTAAGTATGAAAAAATATCTACATGTTTTACTCTTTCTGGAAATGAAACAGGTGTAAAGATGTTCAAACACCAAATATAAACCTTTTTCAAGGGATCAAGGTCTGCATTAACCACACACGGTACTTGTGGTGAACATGCAAACAAAGTGCTTTGACAATATATGGCATTGTGTTTGAAATTGATTGGCTTACACCAGAGACAGCCTTCTTCATGGCCTAGTCTCACCACCAGTGTCAGAGCAGAGAACAACGCCAAGAGGCGAACAGCACAGAGACAATGCCACTCGTATCAGAGCATTTATAGCTTGGCGTGAGCATCTACCGGCAAAAAAGGTCTCATTTTGTGGCCCAAGGTAAGTTGGCCTCCGTATATTCTTAAACAACGGGCGGCGCGTGCATCGGCCGGTGGCCACCACCGAAACTGCTCGGCTCAACACCGGCGTTGGTGGAACGTTGTCCTTCGCAGAGCCCAAGTTCGTGTCGGCGTTCTGGGTTCCCGAGAGCGACAACGCCGACGACGACAAGGTGTACTTCTTCCTGCGCGAGACGGCGCTGGAGGGCGAGTTCGCCGGCAAGGCCACATACTCGCGCATCGCCCAGCTGTGCCGCGTGAGCTGCCCAACCAACCACCACCACCACCACAACAACAACCACTACGTGGTGGTGACATCAACACGGCGCTTCACATAACATGTCAGCCCACACGGTTTACCCCGTAATCTTGTACGGGGAAATTGAGTTTTCCGGGCCGTACGGCGTACAGCCGTTTCAATGCGGGCACATTTTTTCCGTCTATTTTGTGTTTCTTCCTCGTGATGGGACGTTGTAGGACGAACCTTGACATTTATAAGAGCACGTGGTGACCAACAAGGTCTGAATTGGTCTGCAATAAGGTAGGGCACTGATCAGGGGTCGACAGCTATGCGTGCGAAGCGAAACAAGTTCAACGTGCATCCGTGCCGTACACATTTAACGACTGAGCAGAGCCAGGGGACGCCCGGAGCCGGTTCAATTATTGTTGGACGCGAGCGCGAATGGAACTCGGGTCGCCGGGCTCGTAGCGGCGGCAGCTGGGCTAACCGCTGAGCGCGCCACGCTTGCTGAGGCCTCCCACACCCCCGCGACGGGCAATGCATTAATGCCGACGCCGTTCCCCTGTGCCGCACGAGGGGGAGCTGTTGCGTGCGCGAGTGGCCAGTCGGCTGGCCGACCGGCCGACCTTTTGACCCCGCCGTTCGCATTCCTCGCGGCCGCCGTTGCTTCTGCAGAACGACATGGGCGGCCAGCGGAGTCTCGTGAACAAGTGGACGACCTTCCTGAAGGCCCGGATCGTGTGCTCGGTGCCCGGCGGCGGCGAGGGGGTGGACACTCAATTCAACGAGCTGCGTGAGTATTCGTGCAACTTCTACAGTCTAAACTAAAACGATATATATTTTTTTCAAGGCCCACTGAGCTATAGAGCTCTTGTGTTTTTGACGGCTCAACAAAGTGGCTTATCGCGTGGGAATTTATAGTCGCAGCCAACTACCCTAAAAAGGCACATTGATTTTAAATGCGCGAGGTGAAAAACAGGAGCAGCCACAGAAAAAGTCCACACGGCCACTGGGAGAGCGGCAAGCAAACTCCAAATGTACATGCATTAATGAGCTACGTGAGTAGCTGTGCAGCTGCTCCCCGGCAACTTCCACAGCCTAAGCTAAAGGAAAATTATATTTTTTCTTTTACCAGGTGAGGCCCACTGAGCTATAGGGCTCTTTTTTTCCCCAGAAGCGACCTGACAATCACGAATGACGGCTCAACGAAGTGGCTGATCGCGTGGGAATTTATAGGAGCAGACAAATACTCTAAAACCGAATGTTGGCGCTAAATTTGGAGGTGAAAACCTGAAGCAACTGGAGAAAAATCCACACGACCACGGGGAGAGAGACATGCAAACTCCAAATATGCTGTGCAGACATCAGGGTCAGGAGTTAACATCTCTCCACCGACATGAGCCAGTGATTGATGGAGTGCGCCCTTTTCAATTCCGTGTGCCTCGCGTGACGATTGGCGTGAGCAAGTATATCCTTTGCCCAAGTAATTTATCCAAATGAAAGAGTTCTCCCCATGTCCGAATATTGTCCTTCCCCACACCTCCCCGGACCTCTGATTTGCACGGTTGGCTACGTACGGTGCGAAAGACGTTGAACATACATACAGCACTCCTGGATGCACGAGATGCACTGCTTGGGTTGATGATTTAACATTCGGTGTTTTTTTCTGCGCAGAGGACATCTTCATGATGCCAACGCGAGATCCCAAAAACCCCATCTTCTACGGGGTCTTTACAACGTCGAGGTGAGCATCTTTTGCCGCCACTTACAAAATTCCCTGGGTTTACATAGATCCTTGTCCCAGCTCAAGCCAGCAGGCACAACATGCCTTGAATGAGCAGTTCTCCGTTCTCTGAATCTGTAGTGTCACATCACCTGGACAATATTTATTGCTGTCTTTTTGATATTTTTTTTTACATATAATTATTTTTTTCCCAGACCAATTACAATGAAAGGTTCTTATATTAAACTCGATTTATTAGAATTATTGACAAATGTACCTAAGCTTTCTTAAATGTTATACTTTCATAATTGTCATTGTTGTACATCTAGCCCAGTTCTCCCTTGCAAAACAGATGTTTAGGCTCAGTGGGCTCTTACCTGCTTATAAATAAAGTACTTAATACTCATGCTACTTCCATCTAGCTGGCTCGGGAGAGGAAAGCTTAGACCCACAAATACATACTGTTTGGTTCTATTGGGTAAAGTCACGTAGGTGAAAATAAAATAACAAAAAATCACGACGTTTCGGCCACAACACAAGCGGCCTTCATCAGGTGAAGGGACGAGACTGTCCTCCAGACAGTGATTTTTTGTTATTTTATTTTCACCTACGTGACTTTACCCAATAGAACCAAAGAGTATGGATCCTAGCAGTCACGAAAGCTTTAAATCTAGAACCCACAAATACACCCGAGTCGGTTAGTAGGGATCAGCCCTTGGGCAATGGCGGAGCCAGGATTTTCAGGTAGGGGGGGCAACCCCTCTAGCAATGAAAAATGATAGAGGAGTTGTTAGTAAGTAAGGATTTGTCCCTTGCTTTTTATTTGACTCGTGTGTGGCGATGGCGCAGCCATCGATCGGGGGTCTAATTCGAACCGTGTGTGATCGGCATCGTGCTCGCTGAAGATGAATGCCTTCAGGGAAGTCGTGTACTGTACGCAACTGCGCACAATTCTGAGTCACTTATAACTGCTTTGCCGTTACTTATTGCCAATTATGGACTCAGACTATTATCCTATCATCTCATAGAGTATCTGGCACGTAATAATATGCTACATAGTGGCAGTGGGGGTCGCAAAATGCCAATTTATTACTTGATCCGATCGAAATTAAGGATTTCGATTAGATCATTGGGGGGCACGTGCCCCCCCCCCCATTGGGCCAGTTGGCCGCTCTCAAATTCCATGTGCCAGCTGTTGGCTCTGCTCGGCTCGCGTCCCGGACATCATAAGTTGTGTTATTGAGACAATTATCCCTCCCTCATCAAGGGACCGTGCTCTGTAATTATTTACGTGGACATTTTTTCGCCCACATTTGCGATTTACTGTGGCGAGGCGTTTTCACGGTGAGCAGCGGTAGAGAAAATTGGGAAAGTATACAAATCTAACTGTTCGTTTACCCTCATGGAGACTCAAGCACAACCAAAATTATTGGTAATGTAATGGAGAATTCCTCAGCAGGCTTGAGGCTTGGGAATGTATGTGCCCACAGATTCGTCTCGTAGAGAAACTATTATAAATATGATGGCAGCAGGCACGACTAGAATCTGTGTCGATGTCAAACCCACGTGTGTGCTCCCCAGTCCCATTTTCCAGGGCTCGGCTATATGCCAGTACACCATGGCCGACATCAGGCGCTCCTTCCTGGGGCCGTTTGCCCACAAGGAGGGTCCCAATTACCAGTGGGTGCAGTATCAGGGCAAGGTGCCCTATCCCCGCCCCGGCACGGTGAGTCACCCCCATCCTACGCTTATCGTCAGCAATGATTAATCTTTATTCCGCACCTGCTATCGCGTACACCGGCTGCTCGAGCAGCCATCTGCACATCAAGCCCACTGTGCTCACGAGGGGTTAAGCGAGCTCATTAAATGCAAGTAAAGATTGGTCGACAAGAAGGGCGATGCAAAACAAACGGGACAAACTGGCATGAAATAGCAAAAATAGAATACAAATTTCAATCCAATCAAAACTCTTGAGTTCTAGCCACGCATTAATGTATTGATTCGTCCATTAATATCCATTGCTAATGCACACGATACATGCATCGTATCACCGGTATAAAACTCTTCTCTGTTAATATCACACACAGGTTAATGGCATGCATAATTAAACCGTAAAGAATACAGAGGAATTCTATATAATCTACTTTTGTGGGCCATCCTCCAACGTGGGATGACAATTCAGTATGGGAATTTTCATCTCGCGTAATCATGCCGACAGTGAAATTGAAACAAAATTCAGATACGAATGCAGCAAAAACCACACGTAATTACACACTGTATATAAACATACATACCTAAAAAAAACACACACTGGGAAGATGGAGATCGCAGACCGCGCGACCGCGGCCACAAACTCATCGGCGCCCACTGCCATCCACCCCACGCCCACCGACCCCTCCGCCCCGAACCGCCAGTGCCCGAGCAAGACGTTCGGCGGCTTCGCGTCGACGCACGAGTACCCCGACGAGGTGCTGAGCTTCGTGCGGAGCCACCCGCTCATGTTCTCGCCCGTACACCCGTCGAGCGGGCAGCCCATTGTGGTGCGCACCAACGTGCCCTACCGCCTCACCCGCATCGCCGTCGACCACGTGGAGGCCGACGACGGCGCCTACGACGTCATGTTCATCGGCACCGGTGTGACGCTCGCGCGCGCGTTAGCCCGGCGGCGCCCGGCTAACGGGGGGGGGGCGGCTTCGGGGTCATGCGGAGCCGGGGGAGCCTCCCAACTTTGAGGAGGGACCTCCCAAAAAAAATACTCGACGCTTTTTGTTGTAGCGGTAAATGCCCACTTTTGTAGGCCAGTGCTTTGCTCACTTTGCGCCGGATGGGGGGTACACTGCAGACCGGGGGTCCCCTAGCTTAAGATGACTGCCTTTCGAGGTGTTTTGTTACATTACGGGAACAACACAGTTGCAAATATTGGTATTGCCGTAGTATTATTAAATTAAATACTGGAGCGCTCTGATAACGTCTCATGATAAATCCTCTGGGTCATTAGGTAATTAAAGCCATCGCTGTTATTGTGTCTTGCTGCCAGTTACGTGCCGCAATTAAAATACAAGTTCGGTTCATTTTAAGTTTGATTTATCTTTACAATTCGCACGTCACGTTTAAAAACTAGAACTGATGAAACCAAGGAAAAATATAGCAATGGAGCACTTGGCATTCGGCATGGGTATTACTGATGTAGTCAAGGGGAGATATTGAATTGAGTATACACAGAGGGTCCCACCTTACCCTCCCCATCAAAGCGGTGGGACCTGGGCCTACGTAAGTTGTGAGCAATTTGTCTCGACTTGCCGAGCGGAAACGAACATCCCCTCTGACTCTGGGAACTTTTTTGCCAGTATCAAAATATAAGAATAGGTTTTACCCTTTCTGGCAATAAAACAAGGAATCCTGTCTGCATGTTCACCACGCAGGACTTGTGGTGAGCATGCAAACGAAAACACGCTCTGGTAATATATCACACATTGTTTTTGAAACTGATTGGTCCACACCAGAGCTGATTCCTTGAAAAATAATTCTGTTTGGTGTTTTAACATCATATTACACCTGTTTTATCGCCAGATAGGGTAAAAAAAAAAAACCTATTGTTACATCCCCTCTGACTCTCCCCTCCTTACCACCCAGACGTAGGCACGGTCCTGAAAGTCGTGCTGGTGCCCAAGCAGACGTGGCAGGACCTGGAGGAGGTGACCCTCGAGGAAGTGCAGGTGTTTAAGGTACGGCGGCGTCCTCGTCCGCACAAGGTTCTCGGTGATTCATGGCAATTGGTGGTCAGCCATATACAGGGTGCTTCGATATATTTTTTTAACACTTCTGAGAATTTGCAACAATACCACGTGACATGTGCTGCTGCCTCTGGGCTCTAGAGACCACCTGGAGAAGATTCCAGGCCACGTGTTGACAACGATGGCGAACACGTGGAGACTCTTAGACTTTTTGAAGCTATTAACATTACATGTATTATCACGTCAGTGTATTATCCGTTCTTTTCCCATTAAAAACGATAGTCCCATTTAAGTGTTAGAAATATTTAGAAGCACCCTGTGTTTTGAAAAACAAATTGAGTTGCTACCTTTTCCACGGAGCAAAACCCAGACATGTTTCTCACTCAGCCTTGGTCTACCAAAACTGTGCAGGATGCACTGTAAATCTGGGCATTTGCACAACTGGGCTTATTAATTATTAATTCCTGCCATCTGAACACACGGTGTCCACCTGTCCAGGGCAAGAGTCTAGGACACCTATCTTGACTCAAGCCTCGACTCCTTTGTCAGCCGGGATTGGCACTGATAGCGAGTGTTGATATATGTAGTCAACCTGCGATGTCCTAATTGCGACTGCGGTGAAGAACCGTCCACGACTGGCATCGCTGATCGCTGCACCGCAGATATATTTTGCACGAGCTACACGAGGCACGAATGGAATATATCCGGCAACCGCAGATGCCATCGAATGTCTTGCCAAACTCAACATACAGTTATAAACTCCGTCCATTGCTTATCAAACCCCGTACGAACGAAAGCTTTTACATGATACACAATCGTTGTCGACATTGGTAATCAGTGGCGAACTGTATCGTGCCTTTTGCTGCGTCTGTGCAGTGTTGGATTTCTGTTCATCGCGTGTCATGGAAAAGCGGATAATTTTATAATTGCAACCGTTATTTGTTTATCTAGGAAAGCCTTCACGACTGTCTTTTTTCAAGAGGGTCCTTCATTAAGTTGGTTCGCCAATTCCTTCATGTGTATTTTTGCATGTGTGAGGAAACGGGAGTGACCGGAGAAAATCCACGCGCATGAGCGTATCACCCTGAACATTCGTGCAAATAATAACCTTCATAATCACGTGCATTAAGTATGCAGGAAAGCCTCAATGAGTCTCAAGACTCTTTTTTTTCAGGAGGGTCCAGCAATTGAGATGTTTGGCCAATGGCAGTAACGAGTTCGTGGAAAGTGGGAGGGGACCCCGCACCTCCGATTAGCACGGTTGGCTACGTACAGTGTGAAAGAAGTTCAACGTACATACAAACCGGAGTAGCCAGAGCCAACCGCACAGATGGATTCAATACACTTGCCATGGTGTTATCTCCTGCCCACTTTGTCTCATGGATATAGCTAACACTTGCAAAACGTACGTCTGCGGGATATGATTATGTTGGCCCGATAACATAAACGCGATAGGTTGTGCTGCTGCCAACAGTGCTTAATTTGTTTGAGGACCGTGTAATGCAGATTTATATTAAAATGCTTTCGTTAACGAGCTCCAGTGTAATATTTATTTTTGTCCCCCTTGTTTGCTTTAGGAGCCCATGCCTATTCTGTCAATGGCAATATCACCGAAGAGGGTAAGTGGGGAGACCGTGACCTCTGCTGAGATGGAGAAATAAACTGCGCTTATTAAACTTGAAATTACGGCTGATGCGGCTCTTTATGAGAACGTTGGCCGCCTCGGGTTAAACGCGTGAGAAAAAAAGTCCTTCGTGAAATAACCGACACACTTCCAGTGGGGCGCTGGAAGAAAAAAAAGATCTTACGATTGTTAATTTTAATTCCGCTTATTTTAAGTAATTTATGGAAATGCCGAGATTGAGTTTTTTATTTACTGATGGCTTATCAAATCCACTTTTGGAACCATTCCTATGTCAGTATTAGGCATGGAACCAGTGATCCCTCCCCCAACAACAATTCAAAAGACATGCAACCAATCTGCCCCTGCAATTTCATTCAATAACTCTCAACGTTGCGGGCCACGTCTCAGTGGCTGCAGAGGTGAAAGTTCACCTATCACATAGAACATATACGAACCGAACAAAAGTCAAATTCTCAAGCGTACGATGCTATGCTTGTATCACGAGAGTAAAAAATCTACTTCAGTCGATGGGGGTCAGTGCATTAATACGTTGGGAGAGCTGTCATAATTGAGAGTTTTCATTGAATTAAAGAATAAACTCATTTGTTTGTATGTCATGGATTCTCGTGGCTCATCTCAACTATGTGTTTCGATTCCCGGGAATCCAGTAGTGTAGCCGTCGAGTACATAGGCGGTGCAACTGCACCAGCACCAGGAGTGGTCCATGGGCCAGAGAGGCCCAGGTTCCAGGCAGCAAAGAAGGGGGAAATTGGGCAGGACATTTCATTCCTTGCATCAGGCCCCATCGTGAACCACTCTACGCTACTGGGTGGTTACACCCACATCTGTTTTCCCACCTGATTACAATTAGCACCCCCCCCCCCCCCCCTTATCTAACATCAACCATTTTACCACTCTCGGATTTGCGCCGTTGCCGGCGGCGATTCCACCCACGTTAGAAACGGGATCCTTCATAGCGATGGCGTTGGTCCGCAAGCCAACCACCGCAGCGCGGTGCCGCGCGTCCGCGCTTCGATCTCCTTCCCTGCCACGTTACGCTGCGCGCGTTCTCTCCCCGCGAGCAGCAACAGCTGTACGTGGGCTCGGAGACCGGCGTCACTCAGCTCGCCCTGCAGCGCTGCGGCATCTACGGGAAGGCGTGCGCCGAGTGCTGCCTCTCGCGGGACCCGTACTGCGCCTGGGACGGGCACTCGTGCTCGCGATACTTCCCCTCCAACAAGAGGTGTGCCGGCCACGCCGTCTGCTTGGAGGGTTTTTAGGGCAAGGGCGGGGGGGGGGGGGTGGGGGGAGGGGCGTTCTCACTCGAGGGCCAAATCGGACCTTCGGATACCTTTGCCAGGCCACACATTTAGTTCTTGCCAAGCCTTGATTACGCTACGTGTGTACGTTGAGATTCTTTCGCGCCGCAAGGTAGCCAACCGCGCTTATCGGAAGTGCGGAGGGAGGACTACAAACTAAGTATAAAAAAAAGAGTTGTAAAGAAATTCGTTTTCCATCTAAATTTAAAAGTGTATAAGGCTCAAGGACTGTGTAGGCTCAGAACTACTATACTTGAAAGACAACTGGTGAATTGAGTACACTAAAATTATAAAGTGTTGCGCGGTCTAAAATATTCCCTGCTAGTACCCAATTAGTGTAGCTCATATTCTTGGAGCGATGGATAAATATTGTGCGTGGGTTAATTCGAGCACACCCGTCTATGGGGCCATGGGCCAGATGAAATGAGGCTGCCATCTCCCCCCCCCCCACTCTGCATGATGGGTTGAATATCCTAACCTGAAAAGTATGAAAAGTGAAAAGAAGCCTTGGTGAAGCATCAGGTGGGGTTAGGGGTCAGTTTAGAGTAATTCGAAAATCTAGTGCGAGTTGTTGGTTGACTAGTTTGTTAGTTGTAGTGAGATGTTAACTCCCTCGCCTGATATGTAGGAGGTCGTGGGTTCGATTCCGATCCTGACGCCTGCTGTATATTTGGAGTTTGCATGTTCTCCCCGCAGCTGTGTCGACTTTCCCTGGGTCCCCCAGGTTTTCCCTCCACGTTTAGAAACATTCATTTTAGAGTACTTGGCTGCTATGAATTTCTACACGACAAGCCACTTCGTTGAACTATCATTTGTGGCCAGGTCGCTTCTGATAAAGAACTAGACAGCTCAGTGGGCCTTACCTGGTCAAATACAAATAGCAAATCGTGTGGTCGTGAATTGTAGGTCTTGCCCTTGGTTGGCTAGAGTGCTTCTGCCCTCCAAACAACTCACCCCTCCCTCCCACTGCGTGAAAGTGTTTGGCCACTTTTCATTGCTGACGTTCACAGCGCATGTTCCTGCCACGATCACTCGGTGGGGCTTTTGTGTCTCATGGGCAAAGGCTGCTTCGGGGAAATGTTTGAATTCTATTACAACAAATAATTACGTGGCAGACAGATCATGGGCCCTGCCAAAAAAGAGGGCAGTGTCATCATCATGACCTTGTTTATTGAGCTAACAGACATGATGTACGCTTCCCAGAGAAGTTTATTTTACTTCCTGGGTTGGTGTCAACAGTTTTCATTAATTCAAATGCATGCTTGTTAGTTAGGAGGTATCAAAATAAATTGCAGTATCAAAATGTGCATACGTTGCTCTGATACCAGTCTTTCCCAGCGTAAATGTTTACAGGTGTTCTTGAAAAAAATACACTGTTGCTGTTGCTTTAATTTAATACTGCCTCCCTTCTTACCTGCCCACCATCCACCCACCTATCTCCCTACTTACCCATTCACCCACCCATTTACCTACACACCAAATTACCTACCCACCCACCTACCCATCTACCTACCAATGCATTTACCTACCCACCCATCTAACGACCTACATGTGGAAGGCACTAAAGAGTAAACGTGTGGTCCGTGGCACTTGATAACTTTGGGTCCTCCTGCGGTTCCCACCCACAGGCGATCCAGACGTCAGGACATCAGGAACGGAGATCCCATGACCCAGTGCTCTGACCAGTTCCACAACTGTAAGCAAACGGTCCCACACACACACACCCACCCACCCACGCATCCCACCCACCCACGCATCCCACACACCCACGCATCCCACACACCCACGCATCCCACACATCGCACGCATCTTCCACTGCCACACGTCTGCTGTTACAGCTCGCTCTGCGTGCTTACACTTGCCCATAGGCGCTCATGACTCTGGGTGGTTTCCCATGAACGTGATGTTCTGAGAATTTGTATCACTGTTATGTTTTGCGTGCGTTTTGCTTACATTTTATGGTGGGGGGGGGGAGTGTTACCACTTACAATGAGAAAGCGCGATTCAACTTTTGATGAGTTTCATTGAGTGTGAATCAGCGCCAGTGTTTCGATTGTCTGCAACTGCGCGGTTACGTTTGCCGTTTTCTGCGGGCGCGTAGGAGGTTGGGGTTTAAAAAAAATATATCTTAAAACATATTTGGATTTAGAAAGTGTGCACACGTCTCAAGATGCTGTGCGACAATGACTACGGGCAGGTGCAAATAAAAAGGTAAATTATACGTGTAGATTAATTACCCCGAATTTCTGAGTTTCTTAATATCCCTTCTTCAGAAAGATTATGCATTGGGATGTTTGGCCAAATTCCTTTTTGTATTTTTGCAGGTGAGGGGAAGCTGTAGTTCCTAGAGAAAACCCATGCACAGATGGGATCATAAACCACCTTGCAGCCGAGTGGGGTCTGGGAGTTTCACAAATCTATGAGTTCACCAACCCTAGACCCCAGCCAACACACAACCAGAGCCATCAAGTGACACTGAGAGTCAGTTCAAATATTCGTATTTAACATTTAGCTCTATGTATTTTGTGTAATTCCACGATTGTTCCACCACTCGAGTGCTTGGGGCTTGTTGCAAGTGTTTAACACCAATGCTGAGTCCCTTGCTATGGCTGTTAACGACCAAGTCACTTAACGACCGTTTTTTGGAACCAATAGCCTTCGTTAAGAGGGGTTCTACTGTACTTGCTATAAGTTTTTGAGTACTTAATGCTGAATGTGTTCAACACTTTCTAATTGTATTTGACAGTTGATGACAGTGTTTAGTGCTTTTTGAGCATTTCAGCATGTTTAAGGTTTACTCTTGAATGTTCAACACTGGATGTTGGGGTTTCGCACCTGCCATGTGTTAAGTAATGTTTAGTTTCTAGCACGTGTACTTTGCGCATAGGATTAATGATACGAGTGCATGGGCCCCCGCTATCAATGCTTTGCAGTTTGATGTCAGCATTTAGTAATTAATACGTTTTATGCTCACAATGCCCGTTCGGCACTTTTAGTGTTTCGCACTTGCTACGGATATCTGGTGTTAGCGATGAGAATTTTCTTCTGAGTGCTGGCCGAGCTCTGATGATGACGTAACTTCACCATCATCAGAAACGTGTGGGCTACAAAGACCCGCTGCACAAGCCATTGTCCACTTGCCACCGCATTTCAGTCCTCCCGTGTTGAGCGCTTACAGTCTGTTCTCCCACAACGCCGCTCGTTGTTTTCATGACGCGAGTCGGATATGTAACACGACGAAAGGTACCGGGGAACACATTTTTTTTCATAACGCGGATGCGAAATGGATATAATGCGATCGAGTGAACGGAACCACGTCGCGCGAGTAGGCGCAAGCGGTCGTGACGGCTGCCTCGGGGTAGCATCGCACGAGGCGGGATGCTGCTGGATGCTTCTTGATGCTATACCCACGCGCCTCAGTCTTTGTTCAGCCTGCGTACGCATCTCACGTGTTATCGCGGATCGTGCTTTACACGATATTATACATTGTTATTTTAATGACGCGATTTTTCCGTAACGCGGTGCTCTTCAGGAATGCAACTACCGCGTCATAGGAGAACGGACGCGTACTTAGAAGCGCTCACGACTCGCGGTTAGTAGTTGGCGCGTGCTCTTTGAGCGTTCGCCGCCCGTTCCCCGCGGAGCGGCTGCCGTGACACCACGGTCATCGTTCGCCGTTCGCAGACAACCCGGACGCGGCGGTGTCTGGCGAGAGGGCGGTGTACGGCGTGCAGAACAGCAGCATGCTGCTCGAGTGTGCCCCGCGCTCCCGGCAGGCCCGCGTCTTCTGGCTCCTGCAGAAGGGACAGAACATCGAGGATCGACAAGAGGTGGGCTGCCCCTCTCACCGCGCGTGCGCGTGCGCGCGTGTGTGTGTGTCTGTGTGTGTGTGTGTGTCTGTGTCCGTGTGGGGAGCGATAGTGTAGTAGCGGTTAGCGCGCTGCGCTATGAACCTGGCGACCCGGGTTCGATTCCCGCTCACGGCCAACACCAGTGACGATTATCTGAACCGGTCCCGGGCCTCCCCTAGGTCGACTCAGCCTCAAATGAGTACCTGTGCGGTGTGTAAACATTGCCACTAGGGAGACAAAGGCGGTCGGGCGTGGTGCTGGCCACCCACCCCCTCGTGTACCGTTCCGGCCTTCATAGGTGCTCGCTAACAGCACTTGCCCCAACAGTCTGTTAAGGCTATATGGGGGATCTTTGTTCTTTGTTTTTTTGTCCGTGCCATAGTCTGTCTCTCACACCGCGCTATTTATTTATTCGTTCCTCGGGATGTGGGTATCGCTGGTGAACAAGCATTCGATGCCCTTCGGTAGTTGCCCTGAGAAGGTGGTGGCGTTGGGCCTTCTTGCGCTGCTGTAGCCGATGTGGAGCGGGTGCTCCCACAATGCTGTTCGCTGGGGAGTTCGAGGGTTCTGTCCCAACGACAGTGAAAGAGGGACAGTGTGTCCCAAGTTAGGACGGTGCGTGACCCAGAGGGGAACTTGGAGTATGTATGTTGAACTTCTTTCGCACCGTACGTAGCCAGCCGTGCTAATTGGAGGTGTTGCCCTTCCCACGTGGCTTCTGCTGCTCAGTGATAGAGGTCTCATGTTTGGGAAGTGCTTATGAAGCAGCATAGGCGAGTTGCTGCAGTGCATCCCTTAGGTTGTACACACTGCAGCCACAGTACACTGGCACGTGGAAGGAGGTGGACATTCACACTATTTCTGCTGTAGTCTCAGGATCAAAAGAACCCCATCCCCTGCGATTTCTGCTCAACCGGTCGTGCTTATGCCCATCGGGGGGGGATGAGAGGGCTTGTCACACTTGATAACAGAGTGAAGAGAGGCTTCAACGCGGTGGTGCTTATGATGTGGTTTCTGATCCCAGAGAGCCTTCATTATGCGATCGAGTGCGCTTCAGCAGTAGTGGGTGCACAAAACAAGCAACGGGTCGACACGTGGACATTGCGAGCTGCACATGGGCAAGCTCCATTTAACGCGCTTCGTCCGTGTGTGACATTTGTATAAACCTTCCGAGTAGGCACTGAAGACAGCGATAGTCAATCAAAGAGACGTGAGCAACGGTCGATGTGCAAGGAGGGCATGAGTTATTTTTTCACCTGCACTCCCTTTCCATGCTCACCCCCTTGAGTTTCCCTGATGATTCACGCCCGTGTGGGTGCCTCGCTTGCGTGGCTCTGGGTGACGTCTCTGTCGTCTGTGATCCCGTTGTCGTGAGCGTGGTGTGGAAGTTGGCGTCGGCAGCCGGTCGGTAACTCAGCCTCTCCCGGGCTTCCCCATGGTCGGCTCGGCCTTAACAGCACTCACGTGAATATGAATATAAAAATTTAGCACTCCCGATGTTCGATGCGTCGACGTCGTCGGTGGTGCTCGTCGCGACAGTTTGCGAGCCTCGTGCAGGGGTCTTCGTTTTGCGCGTGAGTCTGTGTGTGCCTGCGTGTGCATGTTTGTTAATGTGTTTGGTGTGTTTACTGGCGTGCATACGTGTGTGTGTGTGTCTGTGTGTCGGTGCTCGCTAACAGCACTTGCCCCAATGGTCTGTCGAGGCTATACGGGGGATCGTCGTTTGCCCGTGTTTGGGGAGCGGTAGAGGTTAGCGTGCCGCGCTACGAACCCGGCTACCCGAGTTCGCTTACCCGCTCACGGCCAACACCGGCGTCGAATATCTCAACCGGTCCTGGGCCTCCCCTAGGTCGACTCGGCCTCAAACGAGTACCCGGTGCGATGTGTAAAACATCGCCACTGGGGAGACAAAGGCGGTCGGGCGTAGTGCTGGCCACCCACCCCATCGTGTAAACCGCTCGTTCCCCTCCACGCCGCGCCAGGTGATCCCGAGCGACCGGGCGAGCGTGACGGAGCAAGGTCTGCTCCTGCGCGCCCTGCAGCCCGGCGACTCGGGCCTCTACCTGTGCAAGGCGGAGGAGCACGGCAGCTTCGTGCAGACGCTGGCGCGCTTCTCGCTCTACGTGCTCGACGCCTCGCAGCTCGAGGGCGTGCTGCTCCTGCAGGACGTGAGCCGGGCCAAGGGCGGGCCGGGGGGCGACGCGGCCGGCGCCCCCGGCCACAGGTCCTGGTACCGCGACGTCATGCAGCTGCTGAACCACGCGGAGCTGCGGCCGGGCCTGCGCGAGCTGTGCGAGCGTTCGTGGTGGCGCCGGCAGCAGCAGCAGCAGCAGCACAGGCCGCGGGTCGTCCTGCCGCCCGGCACGCCGCGCGCACACCTGCAGCCCCGCCACGTCAAGTCCAAGCAGCTGCGCGAGCTGCACAGGGCCCGCAACCGGCGCACGCAAGAGAACGAGAGGAGTCCGCGCAGCGTTTGACGCGACGGCTCTTTCCCTCCTTCCCCCCTCCACCCCTTCGCTGCCGTTGGCCCCGCCGAGGAGGGGCCCGAGACGAGTGACTCTTCCCGTTTTGCGTTCTCGGTATTTGTTTTGTGTGGAGCGCGCCACCAACCGGTAGGGACGGGCGAACACAGCAGGTTCGTTGCCCCGAGCAGGCCGATGAGTAAGGGTTTCACTCGAGCCAAATGGTTGCGTACGGTTTTCGTATTGCAGGTTGCAGAAGGACCGCTTTCGACCAGTCCTCACATCCACCCCCCCCGCTCCGCTGCCATGTCACCCTGTACCGGCCAAATTGAATGTCCCATTTTCTGTGCGGCCACTGGAGTGCCTGTGACCATGTAACGCTGTTTTTTTCCGTGGTTCATCAGAGCCACGCCATGCGCACGCTGCGCACTGGAAACAAATCCACACACACCCACACGACGGGGCGTATGTTGATTGCGAAAGCTCAATTGTATTTGTGCGTGGGCTTCTTTGGTGGTACATGGTGATGATACGGCGTGTATCCATTCCGTTTTGTGCGGGAGTGATGGTGAGATTTGGTCGAACTCGACGATAATATTAAGGTGCTTTTATTTTTACATTCGAGGGCCACAGCAGTTGAAAGGAAATTTGTTTCTGCACAAAAGGGACACATTGGGAAAGTGAAATGCAAAATCACGTGCAGTGTTAAACGCAAGTTTACGCGCATGGATTTCCACAATTTTAATTGCCTTTCATTCCCAGTTTAACGATTCTAGGTTATTTCAAACATACGTCGGAATCATACATGTGTACGATGCCCTGAGTTTCATGTAGTAGAGTGTCAAGTATTACTTTTCAAACCAGTTAAAATCAAATGATATTGAGAGGAATAATCCCTCATCAATTATTCAGTCAAGCTTTCGTGCGCACCTAAAGTAAAAACGTCTCATAAACCGCGACAGTTATCGTTTTCCCCTAAATCAGTCATTGTAAGCAACTTGCACGTTGATAACTTGATAGCAAGTGGAGATAAATAAACATCTCAACATAGATTTATTTTATTTTTCTAAATGAATGTTCCATTTGCAAATAAGATTATATACGTGACTACGATATTAACGGGTGAGAAAAATGGATTCCCCTCCCCCGCCCCCCTTAATTAAATAAGTTAACGACACGAGCTATGTGGTCAAAGGCACTAGAAGCGTAACTTTGCCAAATACTCCTAGGACCAGCGAATTGACATGGGCCCTGAATCTGTGTGTACGTGCCATCATGCAGCGTTGGACGCAGCTGTGCGTTAAGGTATAAATGTTCACTCTTACAGTACTATAACCGCGTGTCTCTTCTCTCATTATCATACAGGGCGTCCGTACATTTGTGCAGTGACGATGGCAATGCGTAGGGCAGTATCAGCCACGTGACACTAGTTCAGTGAATCGAAGTAATAATCATTTGTTTGGAAAAGAGAGAGGTTTACCTGTTTTTAAAAGCTATAGCGTCGATGTCGTAATTTATTCAACTGTAAATATTTATACTCAGTCTGTCAGTGCCACACCAGTTCACATGCTCTTGTTCATTTTCGGTGATTTTATTTTTGTAGTTTGTTTTTGTTTTGTTCATCATACTTGTCACGTGAGGGATGCTGCCAGTGGTGTAAACGGTTCGCACACTGGATCAGCAATCCGGAGGTCGCCGGTTTCATTCTCCCGACACAGCAGTCGCAACAATAAGGGCGGGTTTCTTAAATCTGCAACCCCCATCCCACCCAGCAGCATCAATGGATGATCAATCGTAGTTCTTCGAACGGCAAGGTCACGTGAGGTGGGGTAAAGTGTGGGTACTACCGAGTCCTTCCAAGGTGGATCGCCAGCATGGAAGTGGAGGACTCGATAAGCGTTCCCCCTAGTGGTGGCCCTCGCCAGCAGTGGCATGAGTGAGCAGTTGCAGGGCTGCGCCTTTATCTTTTACGGGCATGTAGTTCCTTGTCTAGAGGTGTGTACGACAAGTGGCACCTTGTTTGTGTTAACACATTAATTAGGTTTATTTTTACACAATTAGGTTAAAGAACAACAACAAAAAAACAACCCGCGCATTTTGTGAAATCAACCAAAGTGGAAACGTATTCTTGGTTCTGTTGGTAAAGTCACGTAGAAGGGAAATAATAAAATAATACAGATAAAGCAATAAAATAATGTATTGTTATTTTATTATTTCCCTTCTACGTGACTTCACCGAAAGAACCAAGAATATGAATCCCTGCAGTCACGAAAACTTTAAATCGAAATTCAAAGTGGAAACGTTTACCTTGCGATTACGGTCGCTGCTGTTGCTTGCCCTTGTTACTGGTGAGTGAGGTTGAATGAAATCCTCAAGGGTCATCGCTGGCATCAACCTTTACAACGCAATGGTTTTCTTTTTTTGTCGCATTTATTTTTTTTAAGTCGAACGTTCTCCCCTTGCAGACGTGTAGCGTTTACTCATTAACACTGAAGGTGCAGAAAGACCGCATTAATTCACTTTGACATTTTAAAAGCATGTGGGCGCAGTCAAACCTATACACTCATAATGTACGCTTGCTCGAAATCTAAAAAAGCATGATATCAACATTTCTAAACACGCATCGCAAATTTCTTTTTTTGTAAGTTGAAACGAGTTGTTTAAAAAAAAAATGTAATTCACGTTCGAAATGTTAAACCTTAACATAATACTAATAAAATGATGTTAAGTTTGCCAGAAGGGATTTAACAACGTTTGATTCTAATTAAGCTTGTTTATGTAAATATAATTTGTTGGAAACTGCCAGAGACACGCGCCTTTCCCAGAACCCAGGCTGAGGATTCAGTGCCATTCTGCCTTCGAGCCTCTACCAAGGGTACCAACTCTTAGAAGTCGGCGGGAGAGTCTGTGTAGACTGCCTTCTATGTCCAGGGTGTTCAGACCAACTTCATCCTTAATGTCTATGGTTGTTGATAAAGCTTTGTGCGGAATTAGTTGGACAGCAGTTTCAGTTTTCAGTTGCATTTATTTGGTATAGCCCTGTGAGCCATTCGGCTCTTGAATCGGGTGCAACCGCAACAAACAAAAACATGAACAAGAAAACATCTTAAAGCGACTACGCGCAACAGACAAAATCCAGGAAAAAAAACAGCAACGTCTTCCAGAAAAAGCACCGAATATCAATGCTGTGTGCAAAAATCCCAGTGGAATGCAAGTCAAACAACAACAACCATAAGACAACCATAAGCAGAATTGCATTAATGCCGGCTCCGTTATAATTTGGCATTTTTTTCCGATCCGGGTTGGGCCTAACCTTATGTTTGGTTTAGCCACCTGTTACACAACCAATCATCAGTTCGATTCTGTTCCCTGTGTTGCCGATAGACGTTAACTGATGGGTGTGGCTTGGTGACATCATCGGCATCATCAGCCGCATCTCACTGGGCGAGGCTTGTAGGGGGTGTCCCACCTTGCTGACTCTAGTCGATCTTAACTGTGGGATGCTGGTTCTCGTGTGCAGGCAAAATAACAACGCAGATCGATTGATTGAGCCTGGAGTCACGGTGATGCATGAGCCACATTAATTGTAGCCGCGACCTCTGTGGGATGCCCTCGCTCGAACGTTGCCTTACACGTAAACTACAGACACGTGCTTTATGAAGTTTAAAAACATGACCAAAATGTGTGTCTTTGCATCCACTGTATAGGGTGATGCATAGATACCGAAATGAAATCAACAGGAAGAAATTACAGAGACAAGATTATGATTTCAAGCCTCTGTATGTTTCGCCACCGTGAATCTCAAGATACACATTAAATCTCAGAGCACTCTCCGTCATTGCGAAGTGGAGCCGTCGCTTTTGCAATGCTGCATTCAATCGCTGGTTGAGGTGGAAGTAAGATGAGCGTCTTTCGGGGTGAATGAATCACTGGGGTATCGATACATGGAATTGCCCTGTATACATCACGTCGTTCGTAGACTCCAGGATGAAGGGGTAAACTGTGTTTGCCGGTTCCGCAAGGTTTGATTCATTAAACCACCAAGGCTGCTGTAACGCTATTCCCCGTTGTGAAGAGCCTCGATGGTGGAGCTGACCACGAGGGCAAAGCTTTGCTGGTGTAGGGTACGTGCCAGGTTTTGTACGGAGTGATACATAACCTTACTATTTACTTTGAGACGTGCTACAAACGTTCTGGGGGGTGGTTAGGGTTGTTTTGTACATGGAAATGATAGAGCTTTTTAACAAAATAATTTCACACTTATTTCTGTCCCCTTAAATGTTTATTTAATTAGGCGCGCAACTGTTGTTCTTTTAAGGTGTTGGTATTTTTTGTTTTGTGTATAGGTTTGTGTTTTCACGCGGTACTAGACAAATCGATTTTCTATTTATTGTAAATACTCTGTAGGACACCATTGCTTTTGGACATACTCGGTTGAAAATATATCTCACGTCAAACAGAAACCGTTAAAACGAGGACAAAGTGGTGGTGCTCGATACGTTTGGCCACAAGAATGGGCACGGCTTCAAAAAGGAAGAAAAAAACCCCCAGCACATATTAAGAGGCCCAAAAAACGTAACATTTGTTGTGACACAACATCAGCTGGAAGTAAGTATATTATGGCCCTGCCATGCAGAGTTAAACGGCTTCGGAAATGAATCTAACATCGTTAATGCTGTTGATGCCCTTTTCGCTGTCTTCGCTCGACTTCAATCTGAACGAAGATCCGGCCCACGTTCTGTATTCGCAAACCCCTTGTTTAAGAGCGATACTCTGCTGACACCGCTGTTTATCCTCGGCGCACGGAGAGCTTGTGCAGGGAAGAGTTTGCAATAGCGGGAGAAGAAGTTGGCAGGGCACTTCGATCGGGCTGGTGGGATGGGGAACAAGATGAAAACAACCTCTGCTGATAAAGGCGGTCCACATCCAATTCACAGAAATGCCACTGCGCCAGATTCTGAGACATTTTCAGCTGTGTATGTCTTAAGTAAAATTAGATGACACACATTTAAAAAATATATATCACAGTCATGAACTATAAACAAGTAACGTCCTAAACCGACTAACGCGTGTTACAAATGTTCATTAATTGTCCGGATCCTCATAACCACAATGAACTGATGAACAACAAACTCAATAAAGGCTTTTCGTTGTTACCATTCTGTGTCCACGCGTGTGTCTATGAACAGCAGCACTGCAAATGTCCGAAGGGTCATCTTCCTCACTTGACGATGGGACTAAGAAGTCTGCATGGTTGCCTTCCGTTTTTTTTTTTTAATCACCACGCAGAAACAATAATAGTAATATTTCCAATTATCTACATAGGAAAGCCTGGGTAGGTAATGTGTGAGGAAGGGGTTGCATTTTGATTGTTTGAGGGGGCCTTTGTGAGTGGGAAGAAACTGAAGGGTCTTGATACTGGAGGAATCCAATGAGCTACAAAGCTCTTTTTCACACATGTCCAGTGGGGGCGGGTCAGAACGTTACATCAACAAGCAATACAAAAACACGATAGGAGTGCAGAGTATAGGAACGGTAAGCAAATCGCTCAATAAAAAAATACAAATAAAACTAAACTAATTTTATTTTGCCAGGTGAAGCCCACTGATCATTTCGCTTTTTCAGTCGCGACCTGGCAACAAATGACAGCTCAACGTAGTTGCTTATCATGTAGAAATGTATAGCAGCCAAATAATTGAATCTTAATATTAACACATGGTCTCTAAATATGTAGGAAAAAAACTCCACGCGACCACGGGGAGAGAGAGACATTCAAACTCCAAATATACAGCAGGCGTCAATGGGTCGGGATCGAACCCGCGACTTCTGGCATACCAGGCGAGGAAGACAACATCTCACTCAACACTGACATCTCCTGACCACAGCTCATACTCGCAGCTCTCACGCCTACAACACTGCCCAAGTCTGGGGTTTGCCACACAAAGACAAAGATCCCCTATTGTAGTCTTTACAAGATGTTGGGGCAAGGGCTGTAAGCCAGGACCTTTGAAGGCTAGAACGGCATACGAGGGGGGTGGTCTGGCAAGCACTTTGCTTGACCGTCTTTGTCACCCCAGTGCCCATGTTTACACACTGCACGACAAACACACACACACACATTGTGCGTTTGACCTGGTCACAGGAGTTCAACAACAACTGTTATGGTTCAGAGCATTGCACTTGAGGACGCTCGCCTGTAATGTTTCGGAGCAATAAAATTGTTTGAAAGCCGCCTTATTTATGAGCCCTCGTGTGTGGCAGGAAAGCCCATCTGGCGCGAATCGTGCAGAGGAGGAAACGGAAGATACCATCGTCTACACAACAACGCACATTTCAAGAACTGACAGCTTGGTCGCAATCCAATTTTTTTGTTGCCAAAATAAGGATCAGTTGAGTTGAACCCTGGGTCAAGTGAGAATTTTTACGAGTTTGATGACACAATTCTGGATTTTTTTTTTCCAAAGAGTTTTGTTGGGGGCCCATTGGGCCAGCAGCTGCATTTTTAAGTTCTCACCATCGAGTCAATGCTGATTAAGGTATTTAACACTCGTGGTGCGGTATTTCTTCTTTTTCTTCAAAGTTCGCCCAATTTGGCCACAATTTCTTTAGAGCCAGAGCAGAATGCATCGATGGACGACGATGGCGGATCGCACCATTGCTCATTCTGTTCAGTGTTGAACATTCGCCGAACGTTTATTTAACGTGGGCTCCATCGTGCCCTCCCTTAGTTGTTTGTACGGTTGCCCGCCCACCGCCCCCCTTATACAAGGTCATGCTGCAAAGGTGATGCTCAGTCGGGTTACTTAATGGAAGTACATATGCCCATTTATTATTGCACACGGAGAATATAATTTTAATTTGTTTTAGCGCTTGTATGCACTTGCATTTAAAAGCGTTTAAGAAACTGCACGTAAATCAACTAAAAACTATTTATTTTTATTGTATTTTACCAGGTAAGGCTCACTGAGCTATGTAGCTCTTTTTCAGAAGCGACCTGGCCATAAATTATAACCCAACGAAGTGGCTTATCACGTGGAAATTTATAGCAGCCAAATACTTTAAATATTTGTTTCTAAATGTAGAGGGAAAAACCGGAGGACCCGGAGAAAAATCAACGCGACCACGGGGAGAAAGAGAGACACGAAAACTCCAAATATACAGCAGGCGTCAGGGTAGGGATCGAACCCCCGATCTCCTGCATACCAGGCGAGGTAGTTAACATCTCGCCACCGCGGCGAAAAGGGGCATTGTTATAGATTACTGATACTGTAAATATATTTGTATCTTGTCTGCCATTAATCACTGACAAGGCCCTGTCATTTTAAGGAAGTGGTCTTTCCCATAACACCTGGTAAAGCGGCAATGTTTGTTTAGTAAGCCCGCCCTGTTAATGAGAGGTAGAAAATCGAAAGAGGTTCAAGGATTTTGTACTTAAACAAATTTTGCAGTTTGCCCCAAGTCTAGGCCAATAGACCAATGGTAAGTAGATAAATACATATGTAGATACACTGAAATGAGGTTGCTTTATTTATGTTATTATCCAAAATACTCCTCAGTAGCGATTCAAAAAAAATTATGGCTACTTATAACTAAGCAACCTCTTGATACACAACATGCATTAAAAAAACAACTGGTATTTGCAGCCAAGCGGTAAGGGATTATTACGATTGTATGTGTATTAAACGGTGAACACGAAAGAAGTTCAACGTCCATACAACACGGAGACGGGAGCACGCATTGCACGGCCCCTCAGTATGTCACGTGTCTTAAGCTTCCACCGTCATCATTAATATAAACACAAAGTAACACGAATAACAAACCTTTCAAAAGCATTTATCTGCAGTTTATTTTTTGTTAAATAAATAAATGAAGGGAAATAAAAAAGAGTCTTTGTTAAATAACCGCTCAGTTTATTTACGTTGTACTTATTTTATTAACCAAGGCGATGTTATAATGTATCCACTGCATGAGGTTGTACAATGTCACTTGCAGAGAAAATCTCCAGGAGGCTTTTGCCCTTTGAGATGTTGGGATGATTCATTTTTGGAAATGTCTAAAGTTTGCAGTACAGTACCCGAAAAAAATCCACGTGAACGAGTGGATAACATACGAAGAAGCAAACATATCCATGAATCATTTTCTACTTTCCCATTAATTAATTTCCACGATAGTGCCTGATCACCTCTCAGCCCAGAGCATTTGGGAATTTCATGAAACTATAAGATTTGACAACCTTTTGCATTCAAAGCACTGCATTACAAGTGTGTGCCACCTCTCTGGTGATTTCTTTTCTATTTGACAATGTTCTGTATTTTCGTTTAAGTAAATTCGTATGTAAAATAGTATTCATACCAAAATCGTGTTTGGCTCTACAACGATATAGTTCGGCTCAGGGCTAAACATGGGCAAACGTTTGCGACCTTCTCTGGATACAGCAACATTAAGAAAGTTGTATTGTATTGAACTTCTTTCGCACCGTACGTATCCAACCATGGCTACGTTCTGGCCTTTAGAGGCCCTAACTCAATGTCGTCCATTCTAATGACCACTGGAAAATCAGACTGGTTCTGTTTATGAACTGGTTGAATGGGGCTTGGCCTGAATAACCTTGACAAGGCCTTACAGGGCGAAGCGAGCTCTGACGAGGCTACACGGCCGTGTTTGAGGATAAGCGTTAGGGTTAATAACTCACTTTCCGAATGAAGATACAAACGTTTAGCTTCGTCGCCCAGGGCAACCGTCGTCACGTTACAGGGTCAAGCCTAAAGAGACGCGCAACCAATGGCAATCCCTCACAATAGGTGAACTTCAGCGCTGAGGTTTTTTTTTTGTAAATATTTTTTTATTGAGCGAACCACGGGGGGGTGGGGGGGGAGGGGTGTGTAACTTCCGCGACAGGTGAGAGTGGTGCATAGCGGGATAGGCGGCTCGGACAGACAACCAACGTGGACGTGTAGGACCGGAGCGTTAGGTGGTACGTGGTGCGTCAGATCCCTTCTCTTCGGGGAAGGAAGGGGGGGGGGGAAGAGGGGGCTGGGGAATAATATGACGTCACAGGGCTCTGCTCCCCCCCCAAAAAAATAAAACATGCTTATAATCGCTTTAAACTATTGTCATTGTAGTGCGTATTTAATGTGGCGCTGCACTCTGATGTTGTAGGAGAAAACATTTATAAAAAAGTCTATTTAATAAAGTTGTCTATATTTATTTAACGTTGCGCATTTTGATGTGACGTCACATTTCTCAACACCCCCCCCCCCCCCTCGTCACACATCGTCACAAATATCTGACGTCATTTATGGACGGCCCCTAAGTCTCAAGCTCAATCAAGTAAACTCGGGGTCTTTGGAGTGGCATTCACGAGGGGGCCCCAGATCTGGGTGAACTCCCATTTCCTGTTCTTCAGTTTCAGGTGTTCTAAAGATGCTAGGACGAATGGGGATTTATGCCAGAGGGTGACTGAGGGGGCGCCATGATTCTTCCAGGAGCTCAGGATGGTCTTTCTAACCGCAATGTTAAATGCTCGGAAAAGGGCGTGTTGGTGCCATGTGATACCTTGGGGTTTAAGGGCCAGGAGGGAGAATTCAATGCCAGATAGTATCTCGGTGCCAGACACCACGTTGTACAGATCGGTTATTTTTTCATCATAGAATGTCCTGATGATGGGACAGTCCCAGAAGGCGTTAATGTACGTTTGGATGGTGCCCCGGGGGCACTTAGGACAGTCTCGTTGATATGGTCTAAGATAATTAAGCCCTCCGTTGGTTAGTGAGATATGTGCCGTGAAGGAACTTAAATTGATTGGTCCTGAGAGGGAGGGATCTTAGACCTTGCCGCGGGCTATGCCAAATTAGTTTCCAAGACTCCGATGGGATCGGGCGGGCCCAGCGCCCCCTCCCAAAGCGCCCTGGTCTTTTGTCTCACCTCGTTAGGGCCCTGGAGTAGGAGTCGGAATGCCTCGGAGATTTTATCGTGAGCCCTCTCCTCCGTCAGCCCTACCCATGTCGGGTCGGGGGTCTTTCGGAGGTCCAGCGCTGAGTGTTTAACGAACAAAAACACAGCTAACGAAATAAACAACGTATATAGTTGCATCGAATAGCGTAGGTGAAGCAAATTACACAGATTTAGTATCGCAGCGCGTGGTGGGGAGGAGCAGGAG